ACATAATGAATTAATTATCCAATTTCCTAAAGAGCAATTAACGTTATACTGTAGGACTGCATGAGGGTTTGATTAAGCGTTTAGTGATGCAGGTTAAACTCTAGATTGATGCCATTTGCTGGTGAAAATGTACAGGTTTTTGGTCTGCAGCATTTAATGAGGGTCATAAAAGATCCCCAAAGTGGATGTATATTTTTTTCCAAGTCCATTTTCTTCCAGTATTTTGGGGCGATTTTCAGATAGCAATCTTAGAAAAAAACTATTCAAGGCCTGACTCCTTTTCTCACTTCTGTAATACACCACCCGTTTCATTATTTTAAATCGCTTTTCAAGGTGGAACTTTTTGCAGGCCTTAAACCATGCCTGAAGAGCTGCCCTGGTCCACCGGTTACAGTTACCTGTTTTTCTTTAAAGACCCACTCTGATGAAAATCCTGTTTCTCTTGTTGTTTACATGTTCATGCGGCATTTTTCTGATGCTACAGGACATATCATGAGAAAAATAAATGCAAAATTGAATTTCTGAATATTTCTGCATTAAAATCGCTGTGAATCTCTGGCAGACCCAAACCGCAGGTTCAGACACTGTGAGATTTCCTATGTCACAACTCCATGCTCCGCCCCCGGAGCCCCGCTATGCAAGCCTGACTCGGAGAGATAGAGAGGATGATCGCGGTCCAAGCGTGTGCATTAGGGAAATGCAATTATGATACTAACTTTCATCATGTCGCTCAAGACATTAGTGTCCGAGAGTTAAGTAGCTCCTATGTTATCTGCCACTTGTACTACACCGTCAATGTTAGGCTACAAGCTAACTCGAGAAGTGTTCAGAGCAGCGCTGTCTCCGCCCACGACTCAGAGGCGAATTGCTAGTGAGCTAATGAAGCTCTACAGAAGAAAAGCCCTCAAAAATGACATAGGTAACGCGACTTTGGCTGAAAACTTCATAATCACAATTTAAAGACCACTGAGAACACTTTAAGTAGTAAAAGAAAAAGAAAATAGATGATCGGATTGGGACTTTAAAGTAGCAGCATCTTGAGCACAAAAAGATTTCTATTTGGGACAAAACCAGCAATGGCTGAAAAACCCAAACAAGACCTCATAAATTAATGCAACAGAATAAAAAAAACAGCTTGAAGACTCTAAAATCATGAGCAAGAGTAAAGATGTGTTATTACAGCAAGAATTTGACTAAGCCAAGGCTTACTCCAGTTCTGTTGGATGTATTTGACTAGTAAAAGTCAGGCTCTGTTTGTGTAACCTCACCGCTTGAAAATCGCATGTTTTCTAGTGTGCAATAAAGCTGTATGACACACTATCAAAACACAGGACCAGATTTTGTGCCCTGACAATTTAACACCCAAATTTAAGGCCTCCATTAAGTGTCTGTTTGCTCAGTGGTCTCCAAGGATAACAGCCATGTCAGAACTGTGGGGTAAAACCAAGACGAACTAAACCCCTTGTGTATTTTACCCCACAGATCCTGTAAATTTTGTGGACAAACCTGCAGCAAAGAATGTGAATCAGAACACGGTAGTAATGCACTTCTCATTTTATTGAGTTATTTGAAAAAAAAGCAAATAAAAGCTCAAGAACAACAACAACAACAAAAAATGGTTGGTAGAACAATAAGTTAATTACTAGAAGAAGAACCGTGTCACAGAAATCTTTTAAAGACGCAGAGTATGCGAAGGCATGTGAGTGAGTGACATGTTATATAATGAAGAAACAAATATGTACAATAGAAAAGAACAATGTGGTAACAATATAATTTTCACATAATTTACAAGATACCTGGTAAAGATGGCGAACAGCTACAGCCATTGTTGAAATAAAAAGATGGACATCAGCGCTGCAAAGTTCATTCTCTCATCAGAAAAACTCATAAGAATTCAGAAAAGGATCCTCCTGCTCCGTACAGTTTATATAGCTCTTCACAAACGCTCGAAAAGTGGCCCCTTATTGCAGTCATATCGACACATTTCTTTCATTGTTTCTGAGGATAATGCATGCTTTCCTCTCACTTCTCTATGTCATCACTTTCTTGTTCTCTCCCTCCTTCTTATTTCCTTCTCTCTGAGGAAATGTCAAAGTATATTTCATTCTCATTCATGGACTTGAGCCATGAGCAGAAATCTGAGCTCATAGCAGAACAAGGAATGCAACTATGCATACATGCAATTTCTCTCCACAGATGAGGAGCTGTAATGTATCTGTGTTGCGAGTCCAAAAAACTAAACACAGTGAATATTGCTCACACATGTTTTTTGGCTGGAGAGCCCCAGTTTTCTATGTCCGTGTTTCCTGTCTCATATGCACACGACCATTTTTAAAAGCTGACACGGGGAGCAGAGAACGCAGCTCTGTGAGAATGGAGTGTTTTAATATTCAGACCTGGTGAACTGTGTGCCCTTGTTTTGATGAACTGGAATTCTTTGGTGTGAACAAGAGGGAGAGTTCAAATTCCTCCCTCAGTCGGGTCCTCTAGAGTATTTTTGTACCAGACGTTGAAGAAACTGTTCATCACCAAGCCTTTTACTGTGTTGAATACTTGATCCTGATTGGTCAATACGGAGCCGCTAAAGGGACATGGATAAGAAAAAAACTTTCTCAAGAGACTTTTCTCGAGATCTCGCCAAACTATTGCAAGATCTCGCAAATGTTGCCTCAGGAGTTATTGGTCAGTGTTTTACTTCTGGGTCAATTTAACAAAAATATTGGAACATACTGTGGGAAAGGTTCATTGAATTTCGTTTTTAACTCATTTTCTGCCCACCTTGTCCCTTTGCATGCACATAATGTCCTCGTTCGGGACATCCCTTGATCGTAGGAATTCTTTCGAATCATCCTCCATGACTCGTGTTTTACAAGAAAACCGTGCCTGCGTCACAAAACTGATTTAATATCTTTTTATCTGAGGACAATCTCAAAAAAGATGCAATGAACCTCTCCAATGGATGTGTGCTCTCCATCGTTTGGGTTGACTCGACACCGATCTATAATCTTTTTACTTACAATCCTTTGATGACTTTGCGAGAGCACGCAAAAGATCTCAAGAAAATCCTTTTTTATGTTTTTTTTTTCCTTCATGTCCCCTTAAGGGCTCCATAGGCCAAACCCCATATCAACAACAGACCTGATTGTGTATCTGATCAATTTCCATGTCTGTTGACACTCCTCATTAGTTCATGTTAATAAGGTTTGTTTCAATCTCCTTCTGGTCTTGTGAGTGTTGGTAGGATAATGAGGGTTAATGGGCACAGATGTAAAAGCACCTCATATACAGAAAAGTCGGGCAAGATCCTGTCCTGCAATCCGTGCAGCAGCAGCATCTTCTCTAGGTCGCTGGTGGCTACAAAGCGACTTAAACCACAGCTGGTGGTGATAATAAAACAGTGTTTTAAATTGGGACATTTGCTCCGAGAAGGACAGCTGACTGAGCAGAGGGCAGAAATGTCATCATAAATGATCCTGTAGAAGTCTCATTTCGTGGGAATGTTGAAATTGTTGGCCATGAAATTTAACTTTTAGTTTAATTTTACTTCATCTAGGCTGATAAGACTCGACTGCAATGTTTCTGACTGTGGAAACAGAGGGACTGTTACGAACTGTTTAGATAAATCCTCTCAGGGAATAACATCATCTTTAATTAATACTTGACCACTGAGCAGGATAACGTTTATCGAGCAGGTGGCCATGCAACTGAAAATGCTCTGGGGTGAGGCAGGATCCTTCTGTTTTATGTTGGGATCTGGTAACCGGTCACTGTACAATATGCCTTTCATATCACACCTTTCTGTCACAATCCAATATTTCTTTATTTTAGTCACAACTCTTTCTTGTAATTTGATGTACAAATACATTTTTTCCGATTTAAACTGGTAGAAATTCATTTAACTGTTTCTGAACATCCTCCTGAGTTTGATGATTTCTTGTGAGGGTTTCTGTTTTTATTAAAGATGGTGCTGCTGCATAGGTAAGAGTTTTGTGAACCTGGACCCCAAATCATACCAACAGACTCCCGACACTCACAATCATACTTGTTACAGTTCTGCTAAAATGACCAACTGCCTTTTTTTTTAACATACAGTGAAAAAATGAGCATGAAGAAAGTCTGAAAAATGAACTGCAAAGATATAAATAACAAAGTCCATCTGTAGTGGGAGTAAAATGTGTAACTGTAACAAGTTAGAAAGACACTGAAACCTTCAAAGCCCTGCACCAAAGCTTGAACTAAATATCATTATTCTTTAAATGATTGTAAAACAGACATTTGCAGTTTGCTTTGCTGCATAGAAGACTGTTGTTATGAAAGCTACATACATCACAGCAAATGCACCAACTTCAAATCACTGATAACCCAATTCAAACACACACACACACCCCAGTGTAACAAAGTTATTTTTAAGGCTTGAGTGATGGTTATTATGGGATATGAAGTGTTGTGCTGGTGATGAATCTGTGGGCTGAAAAGCAGATAGCAGGAATCTGCTAATGTGCTGAATTTCATTCATTTTTCTGACATTTACTTTGTGTTAAGTTGATTTTTCCTGTAATTGAATGGAAAAATTCTGGTAATATTTGACAGTGTGATGTGGATATGAACACTCATGAACACCTTTTCCATTAATAAGGCCCTCACTGGTCTAATATTTTCCATATATTTAAAATCCAATGTAAACACTGATTGAGAGATGGAGCTGTCAGGTTACAATGTTAGTTGTTTCGCTGATATGAGTTTTGAGACATTCATCAGATCCAAGTCTCACTCTGTCATCATATTCTAATATTCTCAATATACACACAATTTATCAATCTGTCAAGGTAGAAATGCTGATCTTGGATTGAACATTACGTATAACTCTCCCAAAGGCAAAACGGATCCAAGATCGGCATTCTTGTATGACAGAGACTGATAAGCAAAGATACTCAGTAGCCCCGTTCTCCCAGATTTTAGTTTCCCTGTTATAATACAGTGAACCCAGCTCCAGCTCCATCTCAGACCAGCTCCACCTTAGAGTTGGGGTAAACAGCGACCACATCGTAGCCCTCTGGGGGCTGGACGCGAGCCATGGCGTGTGTCTCACAGTACAGATTGTCCTCGATGAAGAAGTAGCCTCTCTGTTTCAGGTTGATGCCGCAGTCGTCGCACATGAAGCACTCAGGGTGGTACAGCTTGTCCCGCGCCTTCACAATGGTGCCACTGGAGGGCAAAAAAAGGTAAACAGAGAGTGTTAGGAGGGTGGCAGATTGGGTAAACTGGAAATCAAGGAGATACAGTTGAGCCCAACAATCCAGAAAGACACCCAGAGGTTAAGTGTGTGGTTTCAAACGTCCTGTCATGGCCCTCTTTTAGGGCTGGGCGATAAACCTAAAATTTACCGATACCGAAATTTATGATAATAACCAATGTCATTTTGCTCATGTCAATATATTTGGCGTCAAAGAAATAAGTTATTAAAAGTTGGTTTTGAATGTGTGAAGGTAGGCTATGGTCTTATGTCCCTTTTAGATGCTGTCCTACGTCAGAGAAGTGACTCCACCCCATCCAGTCCGTAACAAAGAGGGAAAGACAGGTGAGGAGATGGAGGACGGTTCAAAAGTTGTAGTGGCTGGAGCGGCAAATGAGTTAGGTGAAAATGTGGGAGGAGGTGAGCAGCTTGTGGAGTAGTTATCGTTCATTTATCGTTATCGAGGTGAACTGCTCAATATATATCATGATATTGATTTGAGGCCATATCGCCCAGCCCTACCCTCTGTCTCTGAGCCCAGCCTAATGCAGGATACTGAATGTGAAACAGGTTGTGTTTGGTGATGACAAATCTTTATTGTCTCTTATTTATTCTCTTTTTCTTGTGGTTTCTGTTTGCAATGATTTCTCCTAAACCTTGAGGCCAAATCTAATTTATATTCTTGTTGGCAGTGGTTGGAGAAGTGCACTTATTTAATTCAATGAGTAAAACAAAGAAAAGGAAATACAATGAAAAAAACACAGTATCGCACAGGGTTCCTACGCAAGTATGGAAATAAATTTGACCAATTTCCAGGTCTTAAAAAATATGGAAAATGAAAAATAAAATATGGAAAAATATTTATGTTTCCACACTATTACCACAGCTCTAAAATCCTGCTTTCTAAAATAGAAAAGAAGGTATTTTTCTACACTTAATACTAAAAAGTAGGGTATGGAAAAGTATGGAAATTCCAACTGTGTAGGAGCCCTGATCACAGTTCAGAGAAGAGGAGGCTTGGTTTTATGACAAGCTAACTGCAAAATAACAAGTGCCTTAAAAGGCTCTGCAAGAATCATTCGAGTCAAGTTATCATCACCATAAAGGACAAATACTAAATTGAACACCTTACAAGGTAGTAAATGGGGAGGAATTACGAATGACTCCCTCATAAATGTTCATCAAACTGTCGATTATCAATGCAAATCAGCACTCATGTCCAGCCAGCTTTTAAATATACGTATCCTCCTTATTTGTTTATCAGATGTTATCATAAGCAGAGGAAGGTTTGTACACATTTAATCACACTCTGAAGCTGAACAGTCCATACTTACTCTGCTGGCTGGCTGCTGATCAACACTGCTGCATTTAGTTTACTGCCTGAGTCAGTCACACACACAGCGACAGCAGTCATTAAGGGCGTTGTTCATTCACCGCTCCCAATTAGATTTTCCTTTCTGGACTGGGGATACAGCCAGCCCACCATTCAGCCGTAAGCCAGCTCCTTTTCATGTCACCGCTTTCCTCATTTAACCACGAAACTGGCGGGATAAACTCTTGACACAGTGCTCTATATTTGTTTAAAAAGCTGTAAAATGCTCCCCGGTCATAAGGGCCTTATTGTGCACAGAAAGCTCCCACAATGCACCCCTGTGAGTAAGAAAAGTAAGCCGATGACATCAGTGCTTACCTGCAGCTGCTTTTACAGAGGGGGATTACCGGTGCGGTGCATGTGGTTACTTTGGAAGAAAGGTGTGTGAGCATGTGCTCACGCTTGTTAGAGCAGGTTTGGGAACTTGTGTGTGAGATGGTTTTACATTTCTGTATAAAGCATGTGTGTGTGGGGGAGAGAGGTGTGTAGAATGGCTTGGATTAATCATTAGGATGATAAATGGATAGATCATTTTAAGTGTTAAGGCCTGTTGGTGCAGGTTGATCTGCGGTAGTTCACCTCTTTGTTTCACGGTCTGTGAAAAACCTCGACTGACCTCCTGCAGGTTCAGTGTTTAAACTTTATGACCACAGGTGGAGTGATAAAACCAGACAGACACTTAGCATTTCCAGATGGAGATTAAAATAGTTTTCACAGCAACTCTGAGAACAAGTCGTTCATATTTTACTGTGTCTTTTAAAAAGGTGTTATTTCAATAAGGTTAGTTGTAGTTATTCCCGATTGTTGACCAATATCTGTGAATTGGCTTAAAATAAAGCCAGCACCCATATGGTACTCACACTATGCCGTTATAGCAGCGTGTGCACTGGGGTAGCTTCTGGAGACCAGGCATGGGGCTGGAGATGGGGATGGGGCTGCCCAGTTTGGGGATCGGAGACCTGACTGGAGACTTCAAATTTCTCATCCTCTCTGTCGGAGACACACCTGAAAAGAAAAATAACAAAATACCCATTGCATAAATAAAGGAAAATACACTTTAATCTGCATGGTGCTGACTTCTTTTAACTGTAATCCTGTTCATACATGTTGTGTGTTTTCTTAAAGTTAAAAGCTCTACACGAGCATAAGGGTGCATGTTTTTTTGTGTGTTTGCACCCTGTCAGGATTCCTTCTGAGTTCCTAGTATTACATCTTGAACGTGGTGCCTGTCAGGACAGTATTTGTCTGGTAAATGATACATAGATGGATCAATATTTCACACTCTACCATCAGAAAAGGTTTCAGAGGTCAGCTTTCCCCACCGAGTTATTTCTCACAATTTCAGACTGTCTTCACAGATGCGTGTCATCCAGCATGCTACAGGTATCCATGTGAGGTATCATTACAAGCTGTGAGCACACACTAAGCAACATAGCCTACTATTATCACGCACATAACTACTAGTCTTTTTCCAGTTTTGGTAGGGTTTCAATGTCGTAAAGAGAATCTCAATGGGCACCTAGAAAGACACCAGTGTCCCCAGCCACCAATCATACTGAGTACAAACAACTTGAGGTGAATGTTTTGCATGATACTAGCATGTGTCACAATTGTTGTACACCTCATTAAACTCAGTGTAATTACAGACCACATCTCTGGTTCTGTTTTACAACCTAGTGCGAGGTGAGAACAGGTTTGAAAGGATGCTAAAACTGGAGTACTCAAACTAAATCACAGCCAAAGCACTTAAAATTTAAGATAACACTTCATTATGCTCAAGATTTAATGAAAGCACTCATCTCCTGCCAAATATAATAGCACAAGTGTTTTGTATAAGGCTAGGGAAATGTTCTCAGAGTCCTTGTTGTCTGCTTCCAAAAACAGGATCTTGTCTCACATGATTATTTTGAAGAGATCGATACTTGAAGATACTGTAAAATACAACAATCTACCACTGACGGCAATGCTACCTCCTAGTAGTAAATCATTCATCATCTCTGTTAGACATTTAGCAGGAAAAATATCCCAGGGTTAAACTGTAACACCATTATGATACAGTCAAGGATGCGTGTGAACTACAGAGGGCGAGTTTTAACGACATCCATCATGGTGTCAAGAAGCAATGTATGATCTTTGATAAACTCAAACAGTCCACCTCACAGGGACTTCCTTTCTTTGGACAGTAATCTTGGTACTAAAAAAGTGGCAATCTCCTCATGGATGACAGTCCTTGTTAAGAGCGATCAATTCGCAAAGGTTTATCAATGCCTGACTGGACTACATGAAAGGGGCATGTTTGATTCTGGGTTTGGGTTACTTCAGTGGTTTCCAGCTTAGATCAGTGGGGCAAAGCAGGGAGCAGCACTATATTTGACATCCTTTTACTGATGATGTGCCAGCAGAGGTTTTTCAGGCCAACAGGCCACCTATCAGAGCCACTAACCACAGGCTAATTAGCTTTCATCCAGAACCTGCCTCAAAGTGTCTCCAGGCCTCAGAAACAGTTAGCCTCTGACTGCTCCATGGTGTGTTTAGAAGCTGTCTTGAACTGGGTCTGTTTTTTTTTCTAGGATTAATGTCTCTATTACTTAATTATACACCCTAATGGAAAAGCTCTAATCCTCAGCACTCTCATGACTTTCTCACAGAGGGGAAGGTTGACTAAGAAAAGCCTCAAGAACCTCAGTCAGGAATAGATATTAAGAGCGGGATCAACAAGTGCTTGTTTAGTCTTGCTTCTACATTTTTAAATAGACATGCTACTAGAGCTGGATGGTGCTTGTCGCCAACCTACATAACCCTTATTTCAATTCACAAGAAGTGACAAGTTGGCCTTTTACAACACATATCTCACCCCTAACAGCATTCATGGCACCATATGTGTCCTAAACTGTGACTAACATCTACCAGGCAGTCTGTAAAACTGTCACACATGCAGCCAACACAACAATTCATACCTGTCAAGCTCAGTGTGAAACCTCAAGGAATGTAAGGCAAAAGGAGTCACAACATAGAAAGATAGAATGTATGGAGCACCAATGCCATAAACCGACTGTTAGATTGTATCATATCGTATCGTATCGTATCGTATCGTATCGCATCGTATTGTATCGTATCCTATAATAGCGTATCATATTGTAGCATATCATATCATATTGAGTCGTATCATACTGTATAATATCATATTTTATCCTATCGTATTAAATTGTATTGTATTGTATCATATCATACCATATTGTATCATATCATATCGTATTGTATCGTATCTTATCAAATTGTATCATATCGTATCTAACTGTTTCGTATTGTATCGTATCATGTTGTGTCATTATGTATTGTATCTTATCATATTGTATCTTATAATATTGTATCGTATCATATGGTGTCATATCATACTATATCGTATTGTATTGTATCATATTATATTATATTGTATTGTACCATATTGTATTATATCACACTGTATCGTTTCATATTTTGTCGTATCATACTGTATCGTCTTGTATCGTACCGTATTAAATTGTGTTGTATTGTATCGTATCACATTGTATTGTATAAAATTGTATTGTGTCATATCATATTGTATCATACTGTATTGTATCATATCGTATCATATTGTATCATATCATATTGTATTATATTGGATCGTATTGAATTTTATTGTATCATGTCATATTGTACCATATCGTATTGTATTGAATCATATCATATCTTATCGTATCATATCTTATTATATTGTATCATATCGTATCATATTGTATCAAATTGTTTTGTATTGTTTCGTATTGTATTGTATCATACTGTATCGTATCGTTTTGTGTCATAATGTATTGTATTGTATCATATTGTATGGTTTCATACTGTATCATATTGTATTGTATCATATCATATTGTATCATATTGTATTGTATCATGTGGTATCATATTGTATCTTATTGAATTGTATCGTATCGTATTGTTTCATATGGTATTATTGTAACAAAGCATGTTTTGCCATAATATATCTTTAGTTTCTTCCCTCTGCTGTTTAAACCAAAATAGACATATCTTTAGTCACTGTCAGTCAATGCCTGGCTATTTGAGGGCCTTTAAATTACAACTGCAAGAACATCAAAGAAAAGTACAATTACAGTCATCTTAGGTTACTGACCCACAGAGCTGCAAAAGGAACAATTCTCCTGAACTGACAAAGAGTCAAAAGGGTTAAACCCCTCAAGACTGGCATCACATGTTCACCCCCCAATGGCTCTCAGATCTTGCAGAGGCTTTAAATCTTGCACCATGTCAGCCCCTGCAGTCTAAATCCCTGTGGAAAAACAATCTAACTGGAATGCTCCCTGTGCCTTTCTCCTTGAAACTCTTGAAGAATTGAATTACTTTGCACCAAGTTTAGAGGGGAGCATGACTGATGTGATTTAAACTACTTCCTTCTACCGGCCTAAGTTGTGGTCATTGCTGCAGTTAATTGTAAGGTCACAGTTTTACTAGTTGATCATAACTGTATATGTATTTTCCATCATTTTGGGATACTGCAACTTTTACTGTGTGATAAATTGAGCATATGAGTATCTGTAAGTGTTGAAAAGTTGATTCTCTTAATTGAATCACTCTTGGTTTGTTTAATTTCTAAATTGCCAAGGAAGCACTACTCAGATCACCTTGTGTTTTTCTTCACCTTCAACTCACTCCAATTTTTTATTGATGACAGAAGTTGTCTTATATTGTACACTAGATAAAAAGTTTCTATTATTGATCTAACACCCCAACTCAACACCAGTAAACAGTTACTTTGCCCATCTTCTATCCACAGCAGTATCCAATCATGATGGAGTTCGAGGAATTCTGGGTAAACCGACACTCTTGTTTGCTTTTACTCTAAAAGCCCCTGAAAGTCAACATGGTCTCTACAGGGGCTTTTGCCTTAAAAGAAGACCAACTACTGTGATTTAAAAGCCTGACAGCAAGGTACGCATTCAGCAACACTGATTTGACTTTAACCTGACTGCAAAATGTGCCTCATTGTAAAAAAAATGACTTTTTATCTCCTTATTAGGCTGTTCGACATAACTACCAAGAGAAAAAAAAAAACAATTCAGCATCTGTGTCAGGATTTCACGCTCCCACAGAGATGAAACTGACAGCTCCGAACATCAACAGACAGACAGGTAGCTTTTAAAGTGATCCTAAAGTAAACCTGGAGTGTCTCCTTGTTTCACCGAGGGCTTAGTCCGTCAATCAACCTGTCAGGCCTCTAAGCTGAGAGCCCTCTGACAGCAGACCCTTTAAATCTCTGTAATCCATCAGCAGAGTCTCTCTCCAACCTTCCTCTGTCTACCATTAGCTCCAATCTCTCTCCTGTGTTGTTTTAAAGGTAAAAGCAAATGGTTAATTAATTGTTGTTCTGTCGGCTCTCACATCAGAGAGACAGAGGGTATGACTCTGGCTGGGAGACTGACATCTTACTTTGCCAATCTGAATGCTACACTAAAAATTACATAGTGCGTTCATCGTAATCTATTGAAGTGCAATTGGGAATTGAGCTTTACATTAAAAAGGGAGAAGTGGGCGACTTCATGACAAACTGCATATTCAGTGAAAAGGGTTACTGACATTCACAGCTGCTAAATTCCTCTAATAGTTATGAAAGAGAAGGGATTTTTCTCAAGGACAAATCTGGGTTCTTTCGTGCGGTTGCAAAAACCATGAATCACAGACTATCAGTCCTAACAGGTCATGAGCCCACTCCTCTGAGGTCCCGGTTATTTCCGCCTTAACATACCAACACTTGGCTTATAATTACAACTTTCACAGCTTTTCCTGGCCTTAGCGGTAAACATGGAACCTAAAAGGAATGTCTTAGTTCGAGGGATTAGCCCTTTTCTGCTGCTGTCAGCAACACACGACTCCTCCTCAAAAGCATTAACGCTGAGAAAAGTGTCAGGAGGCTGACAGGAAACCCATATTTCTCACTTTATTGTCCACTTTAAAGTTGTTTTTGGCAGTAAATTTCAAAACCAAACTTCCCTCCCCTGCTCATCCAAGCTATTTAAAGCACTCCATCTTGAGCTCCACCTCCTCTACTTGTTCCCGTCTTGCTCTCTTTCTTGCTCTTCCTCTCTGTGTCTTACCTCCCTGCTTGTGTCCACTGTCCTTTCTATAAAAGGAAAACTATGCTAGTGAAACAGTGGAGCTCGGAGGAGCGAGACATAAGCCACCTGAGCAGAGCAGGATGTTCCTTTGGAGCCATAAGCCTCGTCTACACAGTAGGAAGCATTACTTACTTGGAGTTTCCCACCTTGTGCTTTATATATAAATAACAGGCCTTCCCAGCTGCTTGTTGTTTACCATTGTCATGCACTTAACCTGACTGCAAGTTTATCGTTCACTGTTTTCTTTGGTGCTGCAGATTTTCTCAGCCCTCCAGTTCATTAAAAAGATAAATCTGGCAGTACAGTTCTAATCAGGGGTGTCCCAATACAACTTTTTTACTTCTGATACGATACCGATATAGTAGACTTCAATATTGACCAATGCCAAAATTGATCCGATATTGGCACAAAATTGTGCACGACAAGTTTTTCACTCAGCTGCAATGTCTTTTTTCGTACTTTAGCAAAAAATACTGCCACAAGGCCAATATCACCTCTACTCCCCGCTGCTTTGGTAGCACCTCAGTACACACTGTTGTTTTGAGTACGTGGACTCTACATGCTGGATTTGGGTGCCGCTAGATAGAGGTGCCGTAGCGGAGTCTGGAATGGACTGTTCGTATCAGAGATTTTAGATGCAGGCCGATATAATCCGATATTTGTTTTTTTGCTGATATCGGACCAATATCAGATATCAATATCTTACCGGGACACCCCTAGTTGTAATCTATCACTGATAAAGAGATTAACAGGGAGAACCAGCAAAAGTATGGCGCTGTCATGAGAGCTCATGTGTATTTCTGAAATGCACTTGAATGGTGTGCAGAAAAAGCTCACCTCCCCTTTGTTTCATGAGCATACGTAAAAAAAACCATGGCAGGGAGAGCAGCAGCAAAGACACCCCGAGGGAGCAGGCTTTAGTGACAATGCATATTAAGAACAGCTTGAATAAAACACACACCCTCACACACACACACACACACAGGAATCCTTACCTCCATCCTCGGCCTCCAGGATTCCCTGGAGGTATTTGAAGGAGCCGGACTGTTTGGGTTCAGAGACAGGCTCCACGTGGTCCTGCAGCATCTTGTAGACGTCTGACTGCATGTCAAAACCGTTACGGCTCACAGGGGATTGTGTGGGGGGCTCTGGGCTGGAGGAGATAAGAGAGGGAAGATGAAGTTTCAATGCAGCGCAATTTGAACGATAAAACTTCACTTTTTGTGTGTAAGGAAAAGAAACTGAAGGAATTCACAATCAAGGGAATGTGCCAATATTTTTATGATTCAGTTTTCTCTTTTGTTTTGGGTTTATGGGTGAATTAAGCAGATACAAGAGAAGCTGAGGGAGAGAGACAACAGAACAGATGCCAGACTAACATAGGAACATGATAAAAACACATGACATGTACAGAATGTCCTTAATGCTTTTTTTTCTGAGATAACAGAGATGTCACTGTGAGGAAAATTTCAGTGTACGCTCTGCACTCAACATATGACTCCATAGGAATGAAGTCTTAATCCCAGAAGCTCCGTGTTTACCCATCCATCAAGCTATTCCCAAATCTAACAGGATGGATCTCGTTCATCTGATCCACTCAAACAGTTGGAGCCTCTGGGAGACGAGCAGGACTGCTGACAGATGTGTTCAAATCCTGACACACATAACCGCATGTTTGTCTCCAGACTCCGCTCCGAGAGTCTGAAGGAAGCGCTTCATGTGTGTGCAGCCTCAGTGTGTGTGTGTGTGTGTGTGAGAGAGAGAGAGAGAGAGAGGAAGTGAGAAGACTTTAAATGGTGAAACAGCGTAATAAAAGATTGACAGTGGGCAACGAGCGGGGTAAAGATGCTGTTTTACTGTTTCCTTATGTTTGTGTGTGTGTGTGTGTGTGTGTGTGTGTGTGTGTGTGTGTGTGTGTGTGTGTGTGTGTGTGTGTGGGCCTGGCCAGGATTAACAGTCCAGTCCAGGGGAAATCTGGGAGTGCTGTAGAGGATGTTCACCAGGAGACTAAACACACACATTTATTGCACACTGGAGGGGACGCACAACAACAAATGGCTTCTCCAGTCCACACAACCATGTGTGCAGGTGTGTGCAGAGACTTCCAAGTGTGTCTGTGCATGTGTCTGAGTGCACATCTGCTGGTGTCTTCAGCCAAGTCAGCATATGAACACATGCATCCGTGAAGCATGGAAATACATCGCTGATGTGAAGGAAATCCATTATTTAGTCCTTATTTCTTGATTCATTTTAGACTGCCAAGAAATTACACGTACAGTATCTCAAGTATTCATAAACATTTATCCCCCTGATATTTTGCCATATAATTTAATGTTACAACTACAAATTTAAATGGACTTTACTGGGGTTGTTTGCAATAGACTCAAGAAGTCAATCACTTGGCGATATTGAGGAGGAATATTTCATGGAAGAAAAGTCTGTGCTCTTTATGGCCTCAAATCAATATCACATTATATTGATAAATAGATGATAACTACTCTACAAGCTGCTCACTCACTCCCTCCCGCATTAACTTTGTCTACTTCAGCCGCCGCTCCAGCTGCTACAGCTTTTGAACCGTCCTCCATCTCCTCACCTGTCCTTTTTGTTACGGACTGGATGGGTTGGAGTCACGTCCCTGACGTCGGACAGCCTCTAAAAGGAACATGAGACCATAGCCTACCTACACACATCCAAAACCAACTTTTGTTTACTTATTTTTTTGAGTCCGAATATACCGGTATGGGCAAAATGACATCTGTTATTGTCGTAAATTCCAGTATCAGTAAATGCTCCTTTTCATTATGTGACCTCTAACAAAGATCAGCTGTAACCATCTGCCTCTAAGATAACTTGTACACCAACAGATGTCTCCTCTGTCTGCCCTTGTTTGGTAAACAAACAAAGTGTAAAAACCCGAACTGCTCTGTTTGAACTGTAGGTTGTAAAACTGAAAAAGTCTAAGGAGGTCAATACTCTGTAAGATACCTCCATTTAAAACCCAGGGGTTAGGAGATGAGTCTGGGGAGGCAGGACATGAACGTTTGTAATCTTTACAACATGATGGTGGATGAAGCAACAGAGATCTGCGCTGCGATGACAGTTTTCTGAATTTATACCAATGCTACTTGTAAAAGGACGGATGCACAGACATCGTCACTGTTCCCGTTCTCCTTCTTCATCACTGGATGTTTTTATTTATCCTGTCATGTGCAGGTCCTTGGGGCCACACTGATTGTAGGATATGCACGTCATCACCCTCGCTCACTCCCTCCCTGTTAATTTCCCTAAATGTTTCCTGCTGTGTGCTCACATCAGCTCAAACCGGCTGCTTAGAAAATGTTACTGGGAGGCTGTCAGGAGAAGTCTTGGTGAATAATCTCAAGACAGTCTGGCTGCAGACCTCCACTGTCAGGACCCTTTGTAGCAGACCTCCACTGTGAGGACATGAAGTTGATTTGAAGCCTTTCAAAATAAAAGCAAATGTACCAGTAGTATCTTTATTTTCAATGATGGAAAGTTCAACTGAAGCCTTTCAAATTAAAAGCGATTAGACCGGGAAGTATGTATTTTTTGTCTCATGCAAATATATATTTTATTTCTTGGGGCTTTATTTGATGTTTATAATGTTGATATGTTATTTTTGTGTGTATTCGTGTGTTCAACAAAGACGAAATACATAACCGGGTGACCTTTACACAAACTGGGGCGCATGAGAAAAACGTCACCTGGGGTCCTCTCAGTGGAGGTGGGTTCTGACAGTAGATGTCTCCAGCCGGACCCCACTCCAAAATCTTGTTTGCAGTTACACTTGTGAATGAGTGAATGCTGCTTGTGCAAGGCTAGTCGCATGGTTTCACATCAGTCACACAACATTAATTTGACCCACTGTCTCTTCTTACTGGGTCCTGCTGAGTTTTCACATTCTTGCTGAAATTTCTCTTTAGGTCTTGGGGTTGAACTGTTTGGGTGAAATTTTTGACTGTCTGAGTTCACACATGCAGCTTACAAGCAGAAGTTTCTGGGGTTTAGTACATGTGTGAATATAGCTGTTACCTTTTGAATTTTAGGTAAAGTTCAACATGAAATCTGACCTTTTTCTCAGCAGGGAAAAGTTACAAGTTTTACAAGTCTCACAACTTCTTATTTGTGTGAATTCCTACCAATCACAACAAACTTCCACAGCGTTCATCTCTGTGCACTTTCATGACCTCACCTGTGTGTGGCACTGAGGCTGAGGCCTCCCATCTTGCTCGGCAGTGATCTCTCTCCATTGCTCCCGTTTTGAGCATAAAGTCCGGTTGGGTTGTTGTACTGGTTGTGTCCAGTTCCGTTCCCATATCCATAGCTGTGTCCGTTGTTGGGTCTGGAGTGGCCGTTGTTCAGGTGAGTGGGCTGAGGGGTCTGTGGGGACTGGACCGGCAGAGGGGACTGAGGTTCAGGAGTGTATGAAGATTTACGGCTGTATCCGCTGTAACCGCTGGTGATTGGACGGAAATTCTGAAAAGAAAGATGGCATAGGGAATTCAAAAGTGAAAGAAGAAAGAGACATAAGATATGCACTGTTGGAAAGCATGGGCCAAATACAGCCTTTTACCACCTTCATCGCAGGACATTTATCATCTACATAGGGCTGGGCGATATGGGGAAAAGTTTATCACTATATATTTTTTCATATCAGTCAATATCAATAAATCACTTGTCAATCTTAAATGTTCCCTGTTACTCTTAAATGAAATTTTAGTGATTATTGGTTGTATGTCTTTTGCAATATGATAAGCAACTGCATCGAAGGTCTTTGCGTCTCTTTGACGTTTTGTCGCAAGGCGTTGCGCTAGAGAAAGCGGACTGAATGGTCGGCTGTTTCGACTGCAGAGGCATCGTGGGCTGCTTCGCACTCGCTCATGCCAGTCTTGTTGACGATATCGTCATCTGTTGAGCTTCCATCTGCATTTCTGCCGGGGGTAGCACTCATTTTCTTTTCTTCTCACCTCCAGTGCTGTTGTCTTTACGTCTTTAAAGTTCTATGGTTGGATGTAACTACAGCCTGCTACGATGCAGTTGTTTGCTACTTAATTGTAATTCAGCATATGATTGGTTCAGTGCGGCGTGGACTTGGAGCAACTCCCATTTTTCATTGGCTATTAGTATAGTCCACCAAAACATGGCAGAATGCTGGCTATTGAAAAGCATATTGACCATGTTTCACATCGTTATCATGACCCTGATGAAGGCCATAAGCCAAAACACATTGGTCAAATAAAGCTGTTTTCCTGAACTACAAGTGTTGCTGGAGCTCTTTTGACCATATCGTTATCAAGGGAAATTGATTTTTGATATATATCATATCGTTTTATTGCCCAGTCCTACTTCTACATATTATAAATCCAAAAGTCTCCCTGAGTTCTTCCTGATGCAGCCAACAACAGTGTCAAGCTTATAAGTGTCAAAACCAAACATTAAGCCCAGATTCTATAGACCTTCTGCAGAAACAGGCAAACAAACCAAAGGGAAAGGCCTCACTACATCAAAGAAAAACTCACAAATGTTAGGAGGAAGAAGAAAGGCTAATGGTCCCATTACAGAATAGCCCATTATGTTTTAGCTTAGGAAATGAAAATAAAAAGAGGAGGATTGGAAAACAAGCCCAGTGGTGCTTTCAGAAGTGAAACGACAATTCTTCAGAGGCGAAAAATAATGGTTGTTTTCCAATGAGGCTTTGCAGCGCTGAGGATACAAAGAAATGTTTTTCCACTGCTATTTGCTCTTTAACAGCCCGGCTTATTAGGAAGGAGCTTGCACTAGATTTCCTGCAGATGTTTCTGTCAAAACAGTTTAACTTTGTGTGGTGTAAATAGCATTTCTTTTTTTTTTTCCCTCTGACTTCTTTGATGGATTGAAAACTTCATAGATGCTGAGACATGCAAAAGATTAAATAGTCATCTTTTTGATGTGCAACATAGTTGGTCCGTTGGAAGTGTTTGGATGAATCTCATGCAGGACAGATGCACTAACACCTACACTGTGTATTCAGCAGACAGTGTGTTTACGCCGAGGTCAACGCACTCGTCTTGCATCTGCACAAGCTCCACGGTGACATCACAGCGCGGCTCGGTGTTTACCGCAGTTATCAGCGCCCTTCAGAGATAACGCTGCCAGCCTGGATCCCTCGTCTCCGTGGCTACAGATAACGTTTTATTGCATGATGATGTCACCGCCTCTCAAAGTGCTTCGAGTTTTACAGATAGCCAGCGGTTTTGAGTGACCAAACAGGGCTGCACACTATCAAAACTCCAGACTATAAACATTTCAGTGAAGACAAAGTGACTTGTTTACAAGTTGAAAAATGCTGTGGGATGGGGGGGACGGTCGGACTGTTGAATAAGGAGCCACTGGAATGAAATCTTGGGCGTGCGTACGTGTGTGTGTTTTGGGTTTCAAGTGCCTGAGCCGCAGGGGGTTGAGGTTCACAGCTTCTCCAGACAGGACCCCTGTCATTTCAACAGATGGGTCTGCTGGATGTCATCCTTTCCTCGGCCCCTCGCCTGGACCACACACACATACATAAACACACACGCACACACACACACACTCTCCTGTAATCAGCACTTTTCAGCTGGCTCTCCTCTACACCAACAAGCCCACATCTTGAACTTGGAGGAGCGCTCTGCTGTTGCCCTCCTCCTGCAGCTAAGACGGATGACTCTCGGGAAATTTAAAACCATCTCTTCCTACTCGCCCCAAAAACCTCGGACGGTGAAGATGGATGAATCCTGAAACCCTCTGAACAAAATGCCAACAGTTAGCCGTTAATGGTTAAAGTTTGGAGACGCATGTGTTTAATACCGCTGCTCTTACAGAGCCAAACCCAGTTTGGGCAGGATGTCAGAAACACCCAGCTCTCTGCGGCTCCATCTCCAAGTAACCCAGACACTCTGAAGCCTGGTGCTCACCACAGGGACCAACGAAGAACCACATCTTACTCTTTATCTTTAGCTTTATTTGCACAGATGGTCGACCTCATGTGATTCTAATCAGAAGGTCCTTTGACCTCAACTTTTCAATATATTTTAATTTCAGGTGAGGTGTTTTAACTCTGTTGTTCTTTTACTGAACTTTTGAACTTTCATTTTAATTCATCATACCGCTTTCATATCCTGAGAACAAGCAAGACCAGACAGGTGAGGTTTCTCAGGTCAAGTCACAGTCCCAACATGTCTCTTTGGTTTCAATAAGAATCCATTCATTTGTCACTGCTTGACAAAAGGGAAATCTGCAGATAACAATCAGCACAATAACTGTATGACTGAGTTTATTCATGCCTGTATTCAGGGAATAAAAGGAGGCGAGTGTAGAAAATCCCAAGAGTGTATTATGTTGCTCACTACTGCAGTGGCATGACCGTTTAAAACATCAGCGTCTGTACGAACAGGACCGCTGATAATCACACGCTAACATATTTGTGATATACTGTATGTAAAGAAAGATATAGGATAAAATGTTCCCCGTGAAATCCTTTTCTTGTTTGGCTTTGTGAGCTGGATAGGAAATTGCCCTGAAGAAAAGATTAAGCACCAATCCTTTATGCTTACGCATTCGATTCAGATGAGAAAACACTCCGAAGAAAAGATCCTTTAACAGGTAGGAACTAGAGGAGGTCAATTCAGGGCAACCTTGATTTAATGTGGGCGCACACAGACAGGAAAAAGTACTCAGAGTCTGATACGATCGAGTTGAAGTAGCACTACCGCTGCATAGAGTGTGTTTACAGAGGAGTACAGCTGCATAAGTCGTGCACAAGTTTGGCTATGTTACAGGAGAGCCACGACAAATCAATGGTGCTCTTTATGAAGGGGAAGTACGTATTGTTTTTAGGCACAAATACCTCACAAGCCAACAGTTTGTCAAGTCAGTCTGCAGGAAGATCCTCTCTAAGATCCATCCATCAAAGGGGGGGCTGGAGCAGGAGGGATACAGCTGGGTGAGGGTGCCAGTCAAGGCTGACACAGAGTGAAAAACCACATACTGGCACCCATGAGTAATCTGAAGTCTAATCTAAAGTAGGGCTGAGCGAGAAACCGAAAATTTACTGATACCGAAATTTACAACAATAACCAAAGTCAGTTTGCCCATGTCAAATACCATGTCCCGTGTCAAATACATAAATAAAAGTTGGTTTTAGATGTGTGTAGGTAGGCTATGGTCTCATGTCCCAATAAGACACTGTCCTACGTCAGAGATGTGACTCCACCCAATCCAGTCCGTAACAAAGTGGAAAAGACAGGTGAGGAGATGGAGGACGTTTCAAAAGTTGTTGTGGCTGAAGTAGACGAAGTTAATGTGGAAAGGGGTGAGCAGCTTGTAGAGTAGTTATCGTCTATTTATCGTCATTGAGTTGAACTGCTCAATATATCGTGATATTTAATTGAGGCCATATCACCCAGCCCTAACAGGGAGAACCTATTCATGCAGGAAGAATATGCAAACTCCGCGCAGAGAGGCTCCTGAGTTCTTTCCAGCAGGGTATTGAGCCACCTTGGAGCCCCCCATTGAGGTCAACACATTTTGTGTTATGTAGGGCTGTAATCAACCAAAGAACCCTTGGTCGACTTAAACCCTGAAAGTTTCGCCCAAAAATTGACTAATGGGAAAGGAGAGATTTTTTTGAGACTCTGACGGCAAACCCCGGCGAGGGACGATGCGGCTCGGCAGAGCGCGGCTGATGTCTTCGACATGGATGGTAGAGGAGGACTTAAATGAAAGTTGAAACGCTCAAAACAGAAATAAACATTCAGCAAAACATCAGACGTTGATTAATGTAGACACTCTTCAATCTTCCTGTCTCCAGTGGGACTCCAGTGCTCTGAAACATCCGAAAATAGCACTTGGTACGTTCCACCTGACTGTAAATTGATGCAGAAAAAATTTGAGTCAACCAATCAGAACTTTGGTCGACTCTGCACGTATAAACCAATAAGTTAAACAGTCGTCTAGGACTTTAAAGCCCTATGAACACTAACGCACTTTTATTGTAGTTTGCACCTGAATGAATTTATCAATACTGTACAACATTGTCTTTGTGAATTACTGAGTTCACACACTTTCACCTTCACACTGATGCATGAAAAGATGCGTGCCTCCTCCAGAACCTCTACACCTGTCTGTCTTATTCACTCCTGCCTCAGAGCTTGCTTGTCTATTGTGGGGATATTCTCTTTTAGTGGACGGCAGATTTATATGGCTGCACATCTGGTGCCTGCCTTATAAAAATGCCAGTTTGGTAACATTCAGGGCCTGTAAGTGCTTTCATGTTTATCTAAAGGTAAGGCTTCCTGGGTTTTCCTTTTATCTCGAAATCAGCTGTTCAAAACTGCCTCATTAAAAAGATTTATTCATACTATCCATGTTTGATCCACACACAGCTTTAAAGGAGATTCTCAGTCAAGTTTATATGGTGAATGCCTTATCGCTCCAATTCCCTCCTGGTAACCTTATCTTGTTTTTCCAATGTAGTCAAAACAGTTTAAAGTTAACATGAGCAGCTTCAGTCTATCTCTGACAGAAACTCAACACAACAAAGCTGTTGAAAAAGGCCATCCGTGAGATCATCTGTTTCCTAATTTCCCCCTCTTGAGATCTGCTACTTTCTCTTTTATTTCCAAGTCTTGACTGCATTCCTGCGAGCTGAGAGGAGGAAGAGAAACCTTTGAAAGAGGGAATAAAAAGATGAGGGGGGAAAAGCACCAAAAGTAGTAACTATTGATGGGAACCAGCATTGTCTCCTCCTGCGTGCACATAAATTCTGTTTTCACCAACCCGTTTTACAATGGTAACAGAGCTTGCCTAATAGTTAAGCAGAAAAAGATAAAAAGAAGAAAAAGTTGAGATTTCTGAAGTTCCTTCAATTATCAACCTGGCTAAAAGTTTCACTGATTAATTGGAGCTTGAATAGTTTTAGACTCCGATTCCAGCTCTGGTTCCTCAGGCCACAGCCAAGGTTTGGTCAAACAGGGGTAGACAGATGGAGAAGAGGAAGAAGGTGGAGGGGGGCTTTAATTGAAATCATATGCCCGTTTTTAACTAAGGATCAAGACCTCAGCTTGCCTGCCTCACCGTACACAAATTTAATTCTTTTTTTTTTCTGCCTCCTGCAAGCTTTAATCCCCCGGGACCTTTTGAAATTAACCTTTTCACATGGCGCTGTGCACTGCTAACCAAACACAAACCAGCCCTTTACGCTCCCCGGGCGGGGCTCTGGGTGCCTCTCTGTGAGACAGACAGACAAGCTAGCAGGGAGCTGGGATGAGGGGAACAGAGAGCAGTGGAGGTTTCAGGGGTTCAGACCATTTCCCTGCCTGAGAAAGATCAGAGTAGCATCAGACTCTAGCGAAAATGTTAAATGTTTCATCTATTCCCTTTATCAAATAAAGCCATTAAAAAAACTCTTACATTCAAAGTGGTTGAACCAAATCACTAGAGGATTGAATCAAAGTCTTTGTGATGCAGCCAACTGCAGCTGAATGTTTCAGGTGAAAGCAATTTAATTCAAAGCATGAACAATAAAAAAGGGCAACAAAAGTTTCAACTTCAATAAAGAGAGACATGTGGGTGAAAGCTAGCTAACACCTTCAGAGTATGAGCACAGCCAAGGAGTAACTAACATTTTTAACCATGCATGATCATGCCAGTTAGTATTTATCGACCTACATCTGCAGATACAGTCTGTTGTAGAGCCAGTACTGTTTGTGTTAATAAAGAGGAGAGGAAAAACTTCAATTTTGGGCTTCTAAAGATTTATTTATCAGGTACAGGTTGTATTCAATTAGCTAAATTATACAATCTAATAACTGACGTCAATACAAGTCATTTTTTTGTCACATGCCCATAATTGACACACTCTTACAAACGATTTTCATATCTAAAAGTGGGCAGCATCTGATGCACTGGCGCAACCAGTATAACAGTTTAACCTGCAGAAAGATGCATTTTGTTGCGTTACTATAATTTACCCAAAGGAACATGCTAGATGAAGCTTTGTCATGGACGTGGACTGCCATGACCATCGCCCAATCACTACTAGGGCTAGGCGATAAACCAAAAATTTACCGATACCGAAATTTACGACAACAACAAACATCATTTTGTCCATATCGGTAAATTCGGTGTCAAAAACTAATGAATAAATAAAAGTTGGCTTTGGATGTGTGTAGGTAGGCTATAGTATCGTGTCTCTTTAAGACGCTGTTCTATGTGACTCCACCCCATCCAGTCATGTGAGGAGATGGAGGACGGTTCAAAAGTTGTTGCGGCTGGAGCGGCGGCTGAAGTAGACGAAATTAATGTGGGAGGGGTTGAGCAGCTTGTGGAGTAGTAACCATCCATTTATCGTTATCGAGGTGAACTGCTCAATATACTGTGATATTGATTTGAGGCCATATCCCCCAGCCCTACTCCCTACAACCACATGCAAACTCTCCTGTGCACCACAATTAAAAGTGTGGCCCAGACAAGCATACTTAGGGACACGGCAGTTCGGCTCAAATTGAGGTTACATCAACAAACTATAGTGGTGGGTTCTGGTTGCATTTATGCATACAGCGTCTTGTGACCACTTCCAGCTGAACCATTTATTTAATATTGTGTTTTCTTGACTCTTTCTGGTGTTACTCTAATAGCCCTATTTCTAAATTAACCAAGTTTTTATCTTTATTGGTTTAAGGTGACCAGAGATGGTGAAAAAAATGATTGATAGATGGTTAAAAACAAAATATCTCCCAGCTGTAGATTTTCCAGACTCTGTTACCCCGGCAGAGACTGCTCTCAATGACCCCGTCTCTTCTGAGCATGCTGACAGCCAACAGAGTGAGGGACTGGGGGGGGGCTCTATTGGGAAAACCAAGAGACCAATTTGGACATTTCTGAGGATTACTGGCTGATTAGTGAACACAAACAACCAAATAAGTGGGGTCACAGGTCTGTTATCTAAAAGGCCCGCTGTGTGAATGAATGTGAAGTTGTTAAAAAGACTTCCCAGCAATGCTCAAATACTCTCAGATTCCTTGGCAGGGGATTAAATGGCAGGAGACCCAGAAGACATATTTTGGCAACTTTGGGCAATAGTTTAAACCCTTTAATGGCTCTGCATTGTTTAACGCATTCAGGATCACTGCGGTATAAATGTTTATGAGTCTTTTGTACAAAATCTATCATTCTAACTGCCTAGTTCACTATTTATTTATTGTTTCTCCATTTAAATATAGATCTCTGACACATTTAACAACTCCAGAACTCTATCTTTAACTCGACTCTATGTTTTAAACTCCTGCATCTGAAAGGCAAACGATCTTAATGACAGATATTGGAAAGAAGTTTCCCTTTTTCCATTCATAAAACAGAGCGATATCATGCATCGATTTTTTATTTTTATCTGAGGTAAAATTTGGTTCCAAGCTGTGAAAGAATTACAGACTGCAAGTCATGCAAGGACTCTGTCTGTCAGCTCCTATTAATGTTAGCCTGGAGAGTTTGCCTTCAGCTGCCAGATCCCGGACCGAGACTAGAGACCTCAGTGACGTGTGATCTAGATCTCTCAGCTTCCGCATTGTGAAGCCTCATTCTTTCCACAAGGCCGAAGTGCACAGCCACAATAGCTATCACAGTAATAATAGGGTATAAGGGCAATGAAAGGCAATCTGATGCTGCCTGCCAAAAAGTACGATTTGGCTTTAGCATTGACAAATAGGCCATTCCCACCTACTTGAAGCTGCCACTGCATAACTCAAGGGAAGGAATTTTGAAAACCTGGGTCCATGTCAGTAACTGCTGGTATAACTTTACTTCTGCATGACAGTGTTCCAAATGTGGGGCCAACAGATGTACAATGAGACCATTTACGAGGCGGAAAGACATTTTCACTCTCGAGCTGTTGGAAAAAGGTTCCAATTTAAGATACTGCTGAGATGATGAGATATAGAAGTTGGTAACGGTATCTTTACGAAAGCCATTAAGACATTTTCTTCATCCAAAAACATCTCACAAAACCTAAACCATCTTGAAGTGATAATTTGCTAACTTGATAGTTTGCTCACGCTTGAAAACCATTGATAAAAATAGCAGATAACCTTTATATCGGATGGATTGGAAAGTAAGGGAAAGCTGCAAGCATCCTGTGATCCTGTGTTAAGCAATGCGAGATAATTTTGTCTGTTTTCATCAGTCTTTGGGCTCATCAAACATAATGTAAATTTCAGTTTTAATGACAAGAAAATTTGTGTTAATAATAATAATATTTATATAATGAATACAGATTCATTAGACACAGGGAAGGCTGAAGGGAGATGTAGTGTTGTGGGCAAGGTGATCAAGATTTAACAATGTTCTGACAATTTCTGCAAATAAAAAAGATAATTTGGACTGAGCAAAAGTGCCAAGTCGAACTTTTCTGCCTTCGTCTCCTCATATACCATTAAAGGTTGATCAGTGTGAATCTTGTTTCCAGTAAATATCATTTCAACACAGGAGCCACTTATTCCTGGTGCTGAGCAAAAATTCGGATGTTAAACCAACACAAACACTTTTTGCTGATTTTTTTCTCCTATGTTACCTCCTCATCATTTCGACCCTGCCTATTTTGTTTATCAAAATCTAATTCGGGGATTGGTGGTTGACATCCTGTGATATGTGGACAGAAATGAGCATAGTTTGTTTGGAAACACACACTAAATTTCACTGGTGAATTCCAAACTGATACAATAATCTCTGAAAAAGCCTCTGAAACAACAAGACCACATTGACTCATGCCTTTCCTAAATCCAAAAATACAGCATTTCCTCATCGGCTTTTATGAGACTCTACCATGTTCCCAAGGTGAAAGGAAACACTTCATAGCTTCCACGTGTCACGTCCTGCTTAATATCTAATTCCCACCAGTGTGGCTGGAAATTCCAATAAAGTCATTCAGTCAAGAACAAAGGGTCCATGAGTTAAAAGGGGAAATGTTCAATCCAGAATGTCCTGAGGAGTGCTGTCACTGGTTGACTACACTGGAGCTGTTAAAGGTTTTCACTTTCTCTCTGATATCCCTGTTTAACATTTCTGATTTAATCTAGTCAAAGTGCGTAGGAAAATACCAACGAATTCCCGAAAAAGTCAGGGAAATGGGCGAGATTTGTTTTGTTAAATCGAATCTTGCCTCCTTGGTTTCAGATCTTGTTTCGCAGCCCAAGTCCTTACGTCCTTGGTCATGTCCAATAGGTAGGTCTTGACGATTGACATATTGCTTCAAATCTCTGCCAACACAATCAGGAAAGTGGCCGTCATCCCGATCCAGCGATTCGATTCAGTTAATTTTAGCTCATGCTGTCCAAACTGGCTCATCACTGGACTGACTGTGGGCCAACAGTCTCACACAGTTCAGTTTGGACTTAGTTCAGCTGGTATGAGGACGGGCCCTCTGTGCATATATTGTTGCCGATGTTTCTACAGAACTGTATTTTAGTGCTTCAGCGTATCCCAATACAGCAGGACACAAAAAGAGAGCCACGGTCTTTTTATGTGGCTCCAGAGAGCGGATGTTTCCTCTTTTCATTCCAAGAAGAATCCACCTGAGCGTGAACGTAAAGACGCCATGACTTGGCAGTTTCCAGCCGTCCAGGTTCACTTCATTAAAAGAGACACCAGGGAACATTTCTGGACTGAAATGAGTTGGGAGGGAACCTGGGTAGGAAGTTAGAGAGATGCACAGAGTGATGGAAAAGATCATGTGAGACGGGTTTGCTCCTCTCCTGTTACCCACACGCAAAGCCCCGCTGTCACGCATGTCCGTGTTTGTATAAACAGTTTTGGCTGAAGGTTCCTCTCACTCAGGTTTGGTATTTCCTCATGTTAATCAAAGCAAGACCTGAGATGGTGCTGAGATGTGGAGATGGAGACTACAGCAGCAGAGTTGGCTGGACTTCTAAGGCTTGCTTGCTTACAGGCTCTTAAATCCGTTTCAACACACAAATTGAACGGTCATATCACATCTTTATCATTTCAGTCTTCAGAAAAATACCCCTAAGCTGCTACAGATGGATACTATCTTACTGTTGGTGTCATGAAGTCTAAGTTTAAAGTGGTGTATCTCCAATAACCACATAGTGAAGACTGAAAATGTTGACCCATCTATGACTGGTGCCCCATTATGGTTGGAAAGGGTGCCTGCAATTGCTCTTCTTAGACATTAAATATCTGAACTAGATGCCATGGATATTTAGCTATCACCAAAGTTGGTAAAAGCCTTTTTGTGAACTATCAGATAAAAAAGCTGGTATATCCCATGTGATGTCTCAGAATAATGCTGCGTTCCAGTTGTACTCAGAAGTCGGGATTTCCGAGCTCCAAGTCGGAAATTCATCTGGAACACTCCCCTAAAGTCGGATTTCCAACTCGGAAAGTCGGATGATCCTCACCAACTCCGACTCGACGACAACATCATAACCCCAGATGGCAGCGCAGTGCATCAACAGTAAAGAGTAACAGTGAAAGCTCTCGTAATGTATTAATTATTAGCACTTCTGTTTTGTTTTTGTGAAATTAAATAAGTGGTACATGTTGTACTCTGTTAAGCGTTGTTTACAACTGGAATAGCTGACAACCGCTGCTGACAACCGCTAACAACAACTGACAATGGCTAACAACAGCTGACAACCGCTAACAACAACTGAAACGGCTAACAACAGCTGACAGTTGCCAACAACAGCTAACAACGGCTATGAGTAGATGTCCATCTTGGTTTTCTGACTTGTTTACTGGAATGCCGTCAACTCTGGTGTAACGCCATTCCCAGCTTCAACTTCTGAGGTAACTGGAACGCAGCAAAAGTCTAACCATTTGAAATTCCCTCCAGTACTATTCCAGTGGTCCCCTAACAGCCAATCAGAAACATGTCTGCGGCCACAGTTTGAAATGTACTAACTGATAACTTCAAAATAAAAGTCCTTTTGGAAGCTCATATTCGTCACATCTGCTAGAAATATCACAATATGGGAATTCTTATCCTTCGTCCACAAACAGCTAAACTTACTTTCACTTTGCTAAGTTATTCATAACGAAACTTTTCAGCAAGGTGTCGAACTTTAATGGATGACTGAACAGATACATTTCACTTCTTCTCCTTCAGACAGAGATCAACAGACCAGTCCTGGCTCCATAACTACCACGACACAATACTTGACAAATGGACACTCACATTTCAGAGCCACAATATGCCCATTGTCTGTCTTTTTTTTTTAGTCACACGGTCTCCGCACTCACAGCATATGTGCACTCGAACACACAAACACCTCTTATTCTCTGAGTGCTCGGAAACCTGAGGGCCTGCCAGCACTGGAAAAACTTGGAAAAAGATCATCCGCCAGAGATCATTGAGCCTCAAATGTCCGTTTTGGCAGCTGGTACGACTGGAGAACAATCAAGATACTATTTCATAACCCATTCCAGTGCACAGTGGGACCCATTATCTCATTTTTAATCATGCGAACAATGGTGTTCATGTAATTTATGGATCAAGTGTTGTGTCTGTTTCCATAGATTCTGTTTATGGCACAAACAGGCTGAGAGGACTCCAGTTTCATACTTTCAAACAAGTGACCCCTGATATGAATGATCCTTTCTGGAAGCTGATGTTGTAGGTAGCAGAGGACGTAAATCAAAAGCAGATCTAATGGAGTTTAACATCAAGCAGAGCAGAGAAAGCGGCCGCTGAGTCAATGACTTAATTAATCATGCGGGAACAATAAACGAGTCAGGGAACAGAATTTATGGAAGCTGACAAATCCTGCATGTGATACTTGAGATTTGCCAATTGGATACACAGAGGTCATTAGCTGAGCTGCCAGCTGATCATGGGCTGGTGCTGGGATGAGCTGATGTGCTGCTGAAGCTCACCAAAACGAATGCTGGCTCGGTTTTCTAAGTAACAGTTTCAAAATCGATTTCACCATTTATTGCTAAATGGAAATGCAGTTATATTTAGCACATTGCTCCACTCTTAAAAGGCTCCCTCAGACAGTGACAGAAGCATTATGGTGGAACCAATCTGTCCAAGCACAGAGCGGGCATCAGAGGTATTAACAGAGACAGAGGCGGACCACTGAGAGATCACTGCAGAACAGGCAGAGCAGAAAAGCTACATCTATGCTAGGGCTGGGCGATATAGGAACACGTTTATAACGATATATATATATATATATATATATATATATATATATATATATATATATATATATATCTCACGGTATAAAATAATCACTTATAATCACTCTTAAATATGTTACTCTTAAATGAAATTTAACAGTGCTTGTTGGTAGCATGTCTTTTGCAATACAATTAGCTACTGCATCTGTGAGGTCTTTGTGTCTCTTCAATGTTTTGTCATAAGGTGTTGTGCTAGAGAATCGGACTGAGTCTACCAAAACATGGCAGAATGCCAGCTATCAAAAAGCATATTAACCATGTTTCATATCGATATCGAGGGAAATTAATTTTTGATATATATCATAATTGTTTTATTGCCCAGCCCTAATCTAGCATTTGGTGTGTGTGTGCCTGTTTTGTGCCTCTGTTCTGCATCTCTACATATTTTTTTTTATTAATCTCCCTGTCATGCTTTGCTAAAAGGAGAAAAAAAAACTCTCAGGTGACTAACTAATAATAATTACATAAATCTGTAGGATCAGTACATAATTTGGAAGTTTAAAAGTTTTGAAGTTACTTTTTTGGATATCATTCATAGTCCAATTTAAATAGAAACTAAATGAACTAACGACCACTCCCATTTTACAACTCTATCTGATGAGCACACACCCACATAAATCCACTGCTGTTCCTTTTTGTTTGTATTTCTACGACATGCTTGTCTCGCCACTTGACCAGAGTCAGACATGGATTTCCAAGAGCAAACCAAAGGCTTCACTGATTAGTCCTTTCTCTCATTTGCGGCCTGGTGAGTAACTTTAAGACTATTTTTCCAGCCTGGGGCTGAAAAAAAAAAAAAAAAACCCTCCAAGCTCTAAACCTCTGCGAAGGAAATCAGGTTCGGATCAGTTCTGACAGCGTCCCAGTGGGTGCGAATTTGAGTCTATGAAGCAGTGTGTGACTTGTGCTGTGGTAAATCCAGTACAAACAGTGGTTACCTGCGAGTCAGGCTCCATGTAAGGGCTTGTCTTGCCATCTTCACTGACTGTAGGCGACCACACTCTGTCTCCTGATCCTGACCTGAAAGACAACACCCATGGGAGAAAGACAGAGAGAGTCAGATCAATCCTGCGCATTCAAACACGAAGGCATCGGGGCATGAAACCATTTCTGCTGAGAGGCATGAAACGTTTTGGCTGACAGGTTTCCCACAGGAGATTGCGAGTATAACATTTCATTGTTTCTGTATGTGAATGTTCAAAAAGAAACTTAAAAAAAAGGGTGAAATGACAGACAAGGTTTACATTAATCCTTAAAGAATAACTCTGAGCTGGAAAAGATGACGACTTTCAAATGATATCATACTAACTGCTGTCTCCTATACATGCCAAAACACCCACATAACTGCACGTAAGAAATCACAGACTTTACTACGAGCTTTGTGAGAGTGAACACATATAAATATATGTAGACATTTGGCAGGTTCTCACTTTAGGAATGGGATTAGGCTTCACTCTGTCCTCCCACTTGTATAAAGATAAAGTCATCAACACATCATAACTCCATCGCATGAATTATTCCACTTTTGGATAAACCCCAAAGTATTTTGACCCAGTGATGTTTCAAAACTCTTGATAACTGAATTACCGCTATCTGAGGCTTTCCCCCTCCTGTTTAGGTTATAAGTAATTGACTCCAGTTGCATCTACTTAAAGAGAAGAGAATGACTGGCAACAAAGATAACATACAGTATTTATAGCAGCGCTGGGTCTACTGTGTGTATACAAGAGCTGAGATCTATGTGATTTATCTTCTCTTGAAAAGATGGAAAAGTACATGCTCTTTTTAAAACTAGGACAGTAAATAACGATTTCTTAGGCTGAAGAAATGTTCCTGCTAATCCCAGATGGCTTCACTGTCTGAGACTGATAGTGGTGCTTTAACAAACGATAAGTCTGAATAGGGCTGGGCGATAAACCGAAAAATTTACCGATACTGTAATTTATGATAAGAACTGACGTCATTTTGCCCATATCTGTATATTCAGTGTCAAAAAAATAAAGAAATAAAAGCTGATTTTGGATGAAGAGATTCTTGATTAAATCATTGAATTAAATACTAATAGGACACTTTTTTACTTGCTATTTGGTTAAATTCATTTTATGTTAATCAGTTGATAAAAAATAATCGTTAGAATAATCGATAAATTAGTCGATAGATTAGTCGACTAATCCAAAAAATAATCATTAGATTAATCGGTAGGAAAATAATCGTTAGGTGCAGCCCTACACATTATTGATTTCAGCATTACTTAATCTTTGTAATAGGGTTGGGCGATAAACCGAAAATTCACCAATACCAATGGTGCAGCTTGTGGAGTAGTTATCGTCGATTTATCGTCATCGAGGTGAACTGCTCAGTGTATCGTGATATTGATTTGAGGCCATATCGCCCAGCCCTATGTCTGATAGTATGTCAGTATGTTCACACACTCATTTAAGTTGAGCTTAGGCAATAGGATTTCACTGGACTTGACCTGGTTTACAAGCACTGGGCAAAAAAACCCCGGACAGAAGCATGCCCCCTTTAGCTGCAGTAGGTGGAAAGTTAAACATGCATCTTTTCAGCTTCTTTCTATCAAAACATCAACAAGAGCCAGCATAACGTGTTAGCTAGAGGCTATGATGAACTGTCAGTTGAGATTTTGATGGTGTTGCATTAGCTGCCACGTGTTTTGCTGTGTTTTGTTTACCCCCTATTCAGTATTTTGCATGAGCAGCTCTCAACAACTCAACTCCAGAAAACGTCTGGTTGCAACATGGACAACAAACTAAACGTCTAATTACTGAAATTAGACTCATCTGAAACAAATTCTGTAATTGATTTGGATGAGTCACGACAATAACAAACCATTGCATCCTAATTAATAGCAAAGTATCATCTGCATTCCTTTTTGATTAACAAGTTAGACACTGAAGTAGTTCGCACGTCATTTTGTAGTGATCTAAAGTGGATTCTTTTGTTCCTCTGGTTGGTCTGTTTCAGTTGCCATGGTGGAGGCTGTAATGTGAGAAAGCATCCAGCAGCTCATAAAAAGAGTAACACCAGGACATCCAAAAGAGCAACAGTGTGTGTGGCTTTGAGGGTGTGTGTTTTTCCTCACCCACTCACAAACCCACCTCTCATATCTATTCCTATAGTTCCCAGCATTCCCTATTCTTTCCTTTAGGTGCCGGTTTTCTTTGCTAGAAGTTTGATCGTTGATATTTGCACTTTTTTCATTTGCCTGTTTTTTTTAATTATCCGCTCTGTATGTAAAGTAAAAACCACTCTGACCCTCTCCCCTTGTTTGAAAGCTGTCCCAGAGATAAAGTTTATCATTATTTTTATTTAGAGCTGCCACTGTCCGCTCGTCTGTGGGAAGCGTTGACGTCCAGAGTGGTGAGGTCATCATGCTGCAGCTGGCAGAGCGTTGGCAGAGCTGAGGCAAGGCTTCAGATATGAGCCACAGAGGTGTCGCCATCAAGGACTCTCATAAAAGGCGGCGAGTGTCTGGTGGATGAGCAACAGCTACTGCGTAGGATGGACCCTTTTGACCCCCCCCTTCATTGTACAGAAAGACTTCATGTTTTCAGATTGTTTGGTTTCGATGGTTACAACACAAACAGCCCATTGAAGCATGTGAAAGTTCGGGCTGAAGTGGCCTTTTTGAATTGACATTTTGGAAAGTGCAGGACAAAAACATGGAATTTACCATCCATCCATAATGATGAAAACATGAAGGACGACAAGTCAGTGGAAAGTATGAGGGGCAGGCCAGTTTGTGTTTCACTATTCTCTCATTAAATTAGAGATCAGTCTGAAGAGTAATGTCTGCTGGGCTCTTGAAAATTAAAACATGCTCCGTTTGGACTCTTGAGCAGAGGACACTGAGAAGTTTTGTTCCCTGAGCCCACTATGGAGAAGGTATGAATGTATCTCAAGTATAAAGTAAAGGGAGAAGACAGAAACAATGCTGCACAGGAGGTGGATATGTACAGAAATGAGCTCCAGTGTTCAGCCAGTGTGTGACAGACAATTACAATCTGGATATTTCAGTAGGGTTGTATAAAATAGACAGCAATTGCCACACATAGTCTCTGTAAGTTCTTCTACTTTTGAATTACCCAGATTAAATCTCATTGGAGCGTAAAAACTACCCAGCCACTTCTTAATACATAAACCAGATCATCATATCCTGCAAGGTCAAAGGAGAGTGGATGCTTCTGTTGAAAATTCAGTTTTATCTCTCTTCAGCTAGGGCTGGGCGATGTGGCCTCAAATCAATATCACGATATATTGAGCAGTTCACCTCGATAACAATTAATGAACGATAACTACACCATCAGCTGCTCACCCCCTCCCACATTAACTTTGTCTACTTCAGCCGCTACAACTTTTGAACCGTCCTCCATCTCCTCACCTGTCTTTCCCTTTTTGTTATGGACTGGATGGGGTGGAGTCACATCTCTGACATAGGACAGCGTCTTAAAGGGACATGAGACCATAGCCTACCTACACACATCCAAAATCAACTTTATTTTTTATTTTATTTTTGACACCGAAATATATAGACGTGGGCAAAATGACGGTTATTGTCGTAAATTTTGGAATCGGTAAATTTTCGGTTTATTGCCCACTCCTACTCTTCAGTATCTCCTCCTGTGTCTTGCTGCCATGCTAAGAAGAAGACTATTGTGTTCTCTGTCTCTTTATACAGCTGTATTAAGATAAATAGGATAGAGGGGAAGTGTTGTCATTCATTTTCTCCCAAAGCTCAACATTTATCAATGACCGACGAATGGAAAGAAAAGTGAAAGAAAAAGAAAAGTTTACAAAAATTGTACTCCTCATTCATTCAGTTCTGCAGGACAACTTTAAAATCATCAATGTTAGATTTCAATGTGGAGCACAGAAGTCTTGATAAAGGGAGATAATGGTGAAAAAAGGAGTCTCAGGTCGTCACAATCACTCTCCTCGACTTTCTTTCTGTTATATTTTCCCCTCCCTGACCTTCCCCTGACAGCTTTAATTTCCTGATTGTGGAGATCTGGTTTTCAGGGCAGTGGATGAGTTTACTTTGGCTTCACAGGATCACTGTGTTCATGACAAGAGGAGCGCAAATTAGACATCCCAGAAACCAAGTGCCCTCAAATTAAGATGCGGCTGATGGGGGAACATTTCAGGGTTCACTGAGAGTTTTGCCTGGTTGCCTCACCCTGCCAAACCCTCCTGAAACAGACCTTTTTTAGACTCAGCATACATCAGACACCAGTGGAACAGTTCATTTGTTGTTTTATAAACAAACAGGAGTTTAAATGCTCCCTATTCAGAGAGTAAAGACAGACGGTGTCCTATAAAGAGAAGTTATTGAGGTCTCATTATTGGACCAGACTAGAGGGTCACTTTAGGAATTGTGGGTCTCGGCGATGACAGGATCAATGCAAGAGGGGGAAAATCAAGGGAGGTTTGTGGTTTCCCCTTCCTCTCTTTCTGGTACACAGACTCCCAAAGTCCATTGATGTAGCGTTTAAGAGCACCACAAAAAAGAGGCCTTGGGAGAGCCTTAGAGGAATGATGCAATGGAGGGATAAAGGAGGAGAGAAAGGGGTGTGAGTCGGTGCTTTTGGGAAGTTCCTCTTTTCTTTTGTCCCAGCTGGAGTCCTGTGTTCCTCTGGTCCTATGAAGCCTCGTGCATAATTCTTCAGCAGTGAGTCACAGGTCCTGGAGTCAAAGAGAGACAGCGGGGGCAAATCCTTCACCGGAGTGCTCTGACTCTGTCTGTTCTTGGCCTTTGTCTCTGACTCCAGCTCAATCTTCTACCCTGAGTTAAATCATGAATTTACTCTCCAGACTATGATCCCCTCGAGTGCATATATCTACAGATCACATCTTTACCTTCATGTAAACTTCGGGCCAATCCCAGTTGTCACTCTTACCCCTTCCCCTTCTTCTTACCCCTTTGTCTACCCCCTTCCCTTTGGACCTCTGTTTAAGGGGAAGGGGTGAAAACACGCCCCTAAGAAACGAGACGCAACTCGATTCCCGCTACGTCATCATGCCTTGCCGCTTGCTGGCTGTGTCGTAGGCTGATGCAACAATACTGGTAAACGAGTCGGAAAACAACCTACTGTTGTAACGTTTAGCCGTTGTAAGCTTTTGTTTGCAATAGCAGCCTTGTTAGCAAGCTCGTCTTAACGTGCGATTTTAAAACACAAACAATTCAAAACATCGCTAATATTTACATGGGGAAGCAAAGGATTAAAAATTTGGATTAAAACAGAAAAAATATATATATAAAAAAATATGGACTAAAAGTGTCATGGCTATGAAAATTAGGGCCCGACCAATATGGATTTTTGGGGGCCGATGCTGATACCGATTATGGGGGGGGTGATTACCAATTGTTCAGGATTTTTTTTTTTTTTTTTTAATTAAGTTATAAAAAATATATATACTGTAGATATCGACAGTATATTATATACTGTACATACTGTAGGCTACTGCTCTTTACGCCGACAGGAAGATTGACTGATCAAACTTGGACCAGAAAAACGTTTTCAACTACCCAAGAAAAGCGTTTTCAACTATGAGGTCGCTGCGCCATCTACAGGATAAGTCGGGGAACTTTTCAAATGGCGGAACATTTTCGAAGTGAAACCGAATCTTATTCCCCGCATTTTATTTCTGAAAATATCGGCGAAAATCTGTGAGTTTTGGCGGGCAAAAATTTTGTCTTTGTTTGTCTTCATTTCAAGGGGTGTGTATCCCGTCCCCTGACCTTACAAAGAATTTGGACACCCCTTGGCTTGGCATGAACATGCAAAACTGAGGGCTAAGGGGTAGAATTGGGATTGGCCAATCCATGCACAGACCTGTGTCCCAGACCCTACCTACTTTTGTTAGCCATTTGATACAGTAAAAACTGTTTGTTGATTCAGGTAATGTGGTTAAAGAAAGATGGAGTTACGTATTTGAGGTATTTTTGAGGTATAGATTTACCGTAAGACTACTCTATTATTCACAACATAAATTTCTATTTTGGCTATGTTTTCTTTCAGTCCTTACGTCACGGATAGTCTTAAATAACAAGAACAGTCAGAGGACCACTAACGGCTTTGGCATCCTGACTCATTTCTCAGCACTTTTTACTTGCTACCCCAGCAGGAGTGTTTCTGAGCAGCTCGACCAGCGGTGGAAACACACATTATAACCACCATCATCTGTGACTGAGGCCTCTGAAACCGCACGGCTTTCTCCAGTAAGCTCTGGCAGAAGGAGAGAAAAGGAGGGTGAAAGAAATGGAAGAGACAGATGAAGAGTAGGTTTAGAAGATGAAAAAGTGGTGGAGGGGATACAGGTTTCGAGAGGTAGAAGGCAGAGTGGCACGTCGAAGTCAGGAACGAAGGAGGATAGGAATGAAAGAGGAGAAGGTTTCCATCACAGCTGGTTCATGTATTCAAAGTTTCTGTTTAGGTCTGAGGATATACAGTTGGAGGAAAGCAGACACGACACACTCCACTATGGACCAAGTCTGTCTATTGGTCAAGCTCCTCTGACTTTACAATGAACTTGGACAGTGTGCCAAAGCCAGAGTGGCTGCCATTTTTCCTCCCCGGCGAGCCTAAAACAGCTCCATTTCATCATCCTCAAAACTAGCAAGGATGTCTGACCTCGCTGTGGAGTGCTGACAGGCCGGCATCGGCAGAGACGGCTGATGGAAAATGGAAAGCTGCAGTGGAGTGGTGACCTAATTGAGGTTTTCTTTCTGTTTACCTACTACCCAGACTTTCCTGTTTCATTTTCCCATACATATTCTTTCCTTTTATTTTTAAATTTTATTGTAATGTCTCGATTCTGCGCTAGCACAGGTGAGAAGTTTCACCAACGTTCAGGAAATGAGCCTCAAAAACCAAAGACCAATAGTTCAAATAATTGTAGTGGTGGTTTCAGATCAAGATCATACACTATAGTCTCCTTAGCTTCAGTTATAAGTCTCCAAATGTTTCAAGATTTATTCAGTAAATCAACAAAGAGCAGAAAAATTAAGGTCCAAAAAAACTGCAGTTCCTAAAATGGCCACTTGAGGCTCGCACCGAAAAATGTGTCAGTCCTTATCAATTTATATATCAAAAACGACAGCTGATATACGCCAAATTTCCTGTGCATATTTTTATTTATTTGAAATATAGAACCTTTCCTGGTATTACTGAAATGTATCTAAAAATAAAGATAAATCAATTAAAGTTAGGCAAAACAGGTTACATAATATAAATAAATTTTGCAATTCACAGGCTTCATAAAATCTATCATTATTTAAACATTTTAAGCTCCCATGAGGAACATTTGTGTTTTTCCAACTTTGGCGCCCCCTGTGGGCAAATCAGTACATGCTGCAGTATTGACTTTGAACAAAAAAAAAAAGACAATTGTATTAATTGTTGTGAAAACCTCATCATTTAAATCGTACGAATTTCAGTCTTGACCATAAATGTCAAAAATTCCACATAGGAGCTTTAAGCAAAGTGACTCAAGTATTTCATTCTCATAAACTGACACAAACAGCAACAGCATCTGACCCTTTTCTGTAGCATTTTTGTTTCTTCTTCAGCTTCCATCAGCTTACCAGAAACCCGCACTGCAGAGGGCTCTTAAAACTGCTCTGTGGCAGGAATATGAAGTATGGGGGTTATGAAAGTAATAAATGCAGGGACATTTGCAAATAAAATTCATGTGTTCCACAAGACCTCAAGCTCGGATGCGCCCAGTGTGCTGTAATTTTGGTTCACAGCAGACGTGTCGACTCATACATTTGTCTATCGGCAGCAACACAAAATTACAGGTCTCCTGTTTCTCTCACTATGACTTTGTGACAGTGGAACATTTTCTGGTACTTTTTATAATGAGGGGTGAGAACTATTGTCCTGTAAAATATGACTTTCTACTACTAAGTCAACTTGGGTTCTCCAAAACAATCCCTGATGTTTTAGATTCAAGAACAAATAGTTGCAATTATATCATCCTTTAGCCCACAGCTGCATGTTTCTAATAAATCCACAGCCCCATATTTCAGATTTGTTCTAGTAATTATTTTAAGTACTCATCCATCTCATCTTAAGTACTATCCATTGTCTGGATAATTAATAACTCAGCACTCTAAGCTTTCTCCTAACCCACATAAGTTTATTAATGGTTTTCTTTGCAGCGTTTCTTTTCATTAGGGGTGTCCCGAGTACAACTTTTTTACTTCCGAAACAATACCGATATTGTAGCCTTTAGTATCGGCCAATACCGATATTGATCCAATATTGGCACAAACTTGTGCTTGACAAGTTTTGCACTCAGCTGCAATGTCTTTTTTGGACTTTAACGAAAAATACTGCCTCACGGCCGACATCATGAATACTCCTTGCTACTTTGTTAGTACACACTGTTGTCATGATTACGTGGGCTCTGCATGATGGATCCGGACGCTGCTAGCTAGAAATGCCGGAATGGAGTCTGGAATGGACTGCTTGTATCAGAGTGCTGGTATTGAAGATTTTAGATGCATGCCAGTATAATTCGATATTTGTTTTTTGGCTGATATCGGACCAAAATCTAATATCAATATCGTATCGGGACAGCCCTACTTTTCAGTCATGTGTTCTATTGTTCACTTTTATACTTACATAAGTCTGACCTCTCCCTCTTGGTTTGATAATGTCTTATGTGGACTGCTGTACTTTGTTTATCTGGTCACACATAGTGACTGTTGCTGTTTATGAACAAGACTTCCTTAGCAGCATTTTTCCTGGGAAACAAGCTACCTCACAGAAGGTGTAAATGTTGTCTTTTAATCAGCCTGGAGGCTGAGAGGAATTGCTTTGGCAAACATGTGTGAAAGATATGATCTCTTATTAGGCTGTGATCACTGTGAAACAAAGTCACGTCCCTACATCTTTTGTTCAGTAATGTTCAGAAGGAATATTCAAACATTATTTTAAAAAGTGGTGGAGGCATATTTCCTCTGTCTGAGGGAGAGAAACTGAGCGCTGTGGCGTTGTCTGTGTAAGTGACTTTCCAGAAATGCAGCTGACAGAAAATGTTGGCTGTAAAACATCTCTGGAAGTAGAGAAGAGCCCATGTGGATTTCTCACTTGGGCGCTCTGATTCACAACTCCCCTATACTCGACTTCCAGTTTACCCTCTCGGTCCCTCTGATATCTTTCCTTTACCCCGTAGACTCCCCTTCTCTTTGTTTACACCTTTCTTTGTTTTCCATCTTCAAATATCTTCAAATCAAATAATCCAAAGCTTTACTCCCTGGTGCTCTATTTTTGTCCTCCTTTTCCAAACAGCTTGATAAATCTCTGTGCTCTGCAGCCAAAGGTACATGCCTATCCCTTCAACCTGCCATACTCTCCTCCTGTCCGGCAGCAGCAGCAGGAAAGTTCAGACTGTAATTATCTAACCAATATACTTTGGAGAGGTGGCATACCAGCAGCTGGTCTTAACCCGCCTCTCCTCTGCTGCTATCTTGTCAGGTGAAATCTAAAATTAGAGAAGCTGGATGAAGTTAACAGCGCTGCCCTGTGGTGTATCTCTTGTTAAATGTACTTTTCACGAAGATACATAAAAAAGAGAAACTTCAATGAAACAGTGAAATGTGGTAAGACAATGATAGATCGGAGAAAAGCCTTCTTGACTACTCTCTTGTCTAACAACATTTCGAGCCATAAAACCAGATCATAAAACTGGATCTCTTTAAAATTACAAATTAGGGCTGGGCGATATGGCCTCAAATCAATATCACAATATATTGAGCAGTTCACCTCGATAACACTAAATGGACGATAACTACTCCACAAGCTGCTTGACCCTTCCCACATTAATTTTGTCTACTTCAGCCGCTACAACTTTTGAACCGTCCTCCATCTCCTCACCTGTCTTTCCCTCTTTGTTACAGACTGGATGGGGTGGAGTCACGTCTCTGATGTAGGACAGCCTCTTAAAGGGATATGAGACCATAGCCTACCTACATCCAAAACCAACTTTTATTTATTTCTTTATTTTGACTCTAAATATACAGATATGGGCCAGATGACGTCAGTTATTGTCGTGAATAATAATAGGTTTATCGCCCAGCCCTATTACAAAGGTTAAGGGCTGAGTAAAGTAAGACTGCAATCGATAATGTGAAATAATTCTCGTGAAATCTCAGCAGCCCTCTCCGGTGTCATATAATGGTGTGCAAACTCCACTTGCAGCTGTTTTAGACTGAAATTATGAAAGGGGAAAGGGTTTCAACAAAGTATCTGTACCTATTTTTTGACTCTGTTTATACATATGTATTTTGATCTGTTCCTATCTGCGTTTATGCTGCTATGTTTGAAGCACTGTCACTGTTTAGAGCTGAATATGGATAAAAGTGTGCAAGTGGTTTAAAGCTGGACTGCCTCTCTGCTCTTGCAGCTGCAGAAGGATTTCCCCCCCGGTCTTTAAGCTGGATACTACTTTATGTATCCTTAAATAAATTTACTATCCCTATGTGGACAAACCACTTAACGCTCAGCTGCTCTGCTTGATATATGGGAGATGATTTCTTGTACACGCTGAGGAAGAAGGCGGGCTGTTGCACGCTAGACTGCGTACATAAAACACAAAACAGTGAAGAAAGGAAGAAAGAAAGCGAAAAAAAGAGCCTGTCCTGCTGAATTTGGACTTGGATTTCCACTGTATCTAAGTCAGCGTCACACTCTGTACCATCACAGGAGGGAGACTGTATTGCCTGCTGCCCTAAAAGGAGAGAGCTAAAGCACCAGTTGGCAATCGTCAACTTGTAACTGAGGCCGAAGCCACACAGTGTTCCTCATCGGAGAGGATTCAGAGGAGGCCAGCTTCTATACGCACTTTCCAGTTCTCCGGCAACCCAAAGAAACCATCTAATAGAAATGTGGGAAGCGGCTGACATCTCAGTTTTTCCTTGGTAATCCCTCATCACCCTCACTCTCTCCCTCCTGTCTCTCTCCATCATTAACTCTTCAGACGGATGATTTCCATATTGACAGAAACACGCTCTTCCTGTCCTCTGCTAAAGGTCTGATATTCCATCCTCACGCACCGTAATGAAATAGTTTCCATCTTGTGATACGATAAAATCCCCAATATCAACCTGTGAAGTCCATTTGTAAAGGTTACTATCTGACTCACTGTTTGTGAAGCCCCATTGACTTTGATGGTGCGCTATAGGAGCAGTGAGTCGATCATTTAAAGTGTCGTAAACCTGTCATCCATCTCAGTGACTCCACTGTGCCAAGCTGAACAGACCAAACAGAAATAGAAACAAGATGTTTTCCAGGACGAGGGGCAGTAAATGACATTAGTCATATACTCGTGTCAATAAATGAGCAAAAGGAGCAGAGGCCTCCGCTAAGGGTCAAAGCAGCAACGACTGTGACTAATGTTCGACATTTCTTACTATCTTATTTCTCTGGAGCTCATTATTCCAAACAGTCATGTATGTAATGTCAGTGAACATACAGTAAACTCAACTCTAACATACGAATGATGCATGCACATTTTCTGGTTTTCCCTGTGCATGGTTGTGTTGAAAGTGTCTATAATCAACCTAGATTTTAATTGATTTCTCTCAAAATGTCCAATTTGATCTTAACGAAAATGTGCATGTAATCTGCTATGTGGACATTTAAAAGTAGAGGTGCAGCAGAATTTGAGAGGTTTTTTACACTCATGATGCAGCTCTGTCACCAAAGGTTCAAAAGAGATCTAGAGCAGATGTGTAATTCTGGTAGGAACGATTACAGGCTTTGGATTAGGGCTGGGTAATATAGCCCCAAATCAATATCACGATATATTGAGCAGTTCAACTTGATAATGATAAATGGATGATAACTACTTCACAAGCTGCTCACCTCCTCCCACATTAACTTCGTCTACTTCAGCCGCTACAACTTTTGAACCGTCCTTCATCTCCTCACCTGCCTTTCCTTCTTTGTTATGAACTTACGCACACATCCAAAACCGACTTTTATTTATTTATATTTTTTACACTGAATATATTGACATGGGCAAAATGACAAACGTTGATTATTGTCATAAATTTTCGGTTTATCGCCCAGCCCTACTTTAAAGGTCCGGTGAGATAACTAACTCTTTGCTTACAGACTGTTTTTATGACACACAGAGTGAGCTGTGTCCTATACTCAGGTGTAACCAATACACAAGTATCAAATGTAGAGCTACAGGCGCATCTTAAATACCGGTGCAATTTTACAGTTATTCACTCTTGTTGTTTGCTCCTGCTGATAATGATTCAAGCTGTATCATCTTAGGCTACTTATTAGGTTTTGTGGGGCTTTTATATAACGCTTTGTCAGAAATCAGGCTGTAATGAAAAATCATTGAGGGAGTAAATTCAGTGGAATTTCCCTTTAAGGCAACACAGAAATTCATCCAGACTGTCCACAGGAGTTGCTCTCAAGTGACTTTCAACAAACTTGACCATAAGAGATTTCTTGTCAATAAAATCTAAACCTGCTAAATCTTGTTTCTTGTGTTGTTGCTCTCATAATGGCAGAGTCATGTTTAAATACCTGCTGATGTTGAGTGTGAGCTGCTGGGTGCAGTTTTTGATCCTGTTCTGAGCCTCCATGTGCGTCATCTGCTCTGTGCTGTCACCGTTGATAGCCAGGATGGTGTCGCCTGGACACAGGTCACCTTGGGCTGCCTTGCTGCCTGGTGTCACCTAAAGATAACATTGACACACACAAAAACACACAGTGACCCATGTGTTCACCAAAGAGAGAGAAAGAGAGAGAGAAAAGAAAGCCGTTCTCAGAAGTGTCAAACTGTCAGTGTGGAAAAAAGAAGGAAAAAGAAGGGTGTCCGCACGCAGTCCAAATTCAACAAAAGCTCGTCTCCTTTGATTAATGATCTGTTTCCTTGGGCAGCGATTGAGGTTTACATTTTTAAAAGCCAGCAACAATGACACTGGGGAGACGGAGGTTACAGAGTTTTACTAGTGAGACGGTGAAATATTCAAAGAGCAGCAACATTTTCAGATGCCTGGTTTCTGAGATTAGATAAAGAGCACAACTTTATGATCACTCAGCAATCAGTGAATTACTCCAAAATTTCCCTTTGCAATGAAACCTTGGACTTTTACAGAGATCTCTGCGCAACGTCGGCTTCATGTTAAAACATCTGCTCAATAACTTGCCATAGCTTGTCCCGATTAAACAGTTTTTGCCGTGTAAAACATGCGTCCACATCGCTTTCATTTTCAAGATTATCTTTGAGCCGCTGGACAGTGAGCAGGTTCCTCTCTGTAATCCCTCATACCAGAAACACACACAGATCTGTGGACATCTGAGACCCTCGGGAGGCAGTAGGGTGAGGGGTGGAGGAGGCAGGGGGGAAGGTAGATGTCCCAGTGGGTATGTGTAACCTTCATAGACACATGTAGCAACATATGATAACAATTTTCCATTATTACACTCACAGAAATGTTCCTGCTATTTCCAGGCCTGGTTGAATGGTTTTGGCTGACTCAAATATGATGAAAATACCAGTCAAATCCTCTATTAGAGAACATCTACAGTAAAACAGTCACTGTCATATGGCAGCCATCTGTAGGAGGAAATATGCCTTACTAGAAATGAAACAAAAATGCACTAAAATGTGAACAATTGTCATCTTGTCCCTGGTCTTCATGTGTAGTCATGCTATCACACATCCATCTATGAGTTTGACCGAGTTTTTCCAGCCATTAAATGAGAGGAGAGCAGCAGCAGCAGCTGGATACGATTTATTTTAGTCACAACGATGTTGGAAGAACTGAGACATGTCTATATCAGCTGAATAAGAGTTAGATTTACTATTTCAGCTGAAGACTGATATATATACTTTTTTTTTGTGTGCAAAAATCAGGAACATCCATCAGTCCATAATCTCAGTGTTTTAATACTGACAAGGCCCTTTGTAAAAAAAGATGAAGTCTACTTCAGCTGCCGCTCTAGCTGCTGCAATTTTTGAACCGTCCTCCATCTCCTCATAGGAGCCGTAGGACAGCGTCTTAAAGGGACATGAGACCATAGCCTACCTACAAACATCCAAAACCAACTTTTATTCATTTTTTGGCACCGAATATACAGATATGGCCAAAATGACATTTGTTATTGTCATAAATTTTCGGTTTATCACCCAGCCCTAGGCTTAAACGACTACCTGTCTCCACAAAAACAGAGAAGAAAATTAGATTTATGATGATTTTAATGTTAATGAACACCTTCAATATCAAGTGTCTGTGATTAATCTTTGTCTTGTCAACCAAGTTTTTCAGCTGATACCTCCCTTTGAGCTCAATTCATCACCTGCACAGCTTCAGCTTCAGGCGTATTATCTTTGGATTGGTGTTATCTCATGTTGAAATAGTTCCTACTTCAATTAGATATTCGTAATTTGTCCAAGATAAATGAGCTATGATTGGCCAAAATTTCAGCTTCATGGACAGAACCCAGAAACCCAGAGATTGATGGGGATCTGCTGGTGTCAGAGAAGCGGCCTGGTTAGCTTACAGGGACTTTTAAAAGAGCAAAGGCACACAAGTTCACGCTCCATGAAGCACTAATAGCTGAGTCGTGTGGTTCAAATGTGGAATTCATAATTTACGGCCTTTAACCGGCCTTATGTCCCTGACTCAGTTCCGGTAAACTGAGAGAGTGTGTGTTTGTGTGAGAGTGTGTGTGTCCAGGGAAAGTACCAATACTTACTTTATTCTGACAGAAAAAGACACTCAGCATGTGTAAACAACAAAGTTTCTATGAAGACAAGTTTTAAATAAAGGTTTGCTTTGAGGGAAACAAAACTGGTTCTTGTTTGTCAGGCATTTGTTGACAATTACAAAACTGGAGGTTACAGTTTAGCCGCATTATTCAACATAATCTTCTCAGTAAGAATGCGTGTGTGTGTGTGTGTGTGCTCTGAGTTTATGTTTAAGCTGTGTCAGAGTGTACCAAAGTTCACGCACCCCCAACAGACACACAGTGAGTGAGTTATATCCCCTTAGGGTCAAGCCATGAGTAGCAGTGCATGAATCATCACACACACACAGTAGTAGGCTACAATGTCATGACTGAAGTCCTCACTCGGGGACAAACATTCCTGACTGTAAGGAAATGTAAAGACGGGGTAGAGTTACAAGTTTCAAGCATAACCGCAATCTGCTATAGAGTTAACTGTACATACGTACTCTGCAGATGTAGTGTGATGTAATGACTTTAATGTAAAGAGCCTCAGAGACAGCTGTAATTTTGTAATTATCTTTACTCTCTGGCCTGGATTAGTAGCTTTGAAAACCAGGCCAACATTTTTTAGCCTTAAGTCTTTAATTTTTGTCATTTTGCCCACAAAGAACCACAGGTAGTCGTAAAACAAACTCAGCGATCCATTCCTAATTGCTCAAACAAAAACAAATAATCCCAAAATATGAGTTGACAGTCTCTTGAAGACAAGCACAAGGGTGTGTGTGTGTGTGTGTGCCTGCGTCTAATAAGAGTCATCTTCGGCTGACTCAGAGACTGGAAACAAAGCTGTCCTGAACAATGTAAAGTAGTTTCTAAACTGCTGCTGAAGGGAAGAAAACAGACGATAAACTTCACCAAATGATCCCACAATTGTAGAAAAATGTCACTTAGTAACATGTGGTAGGAATTGAATCCCATTTTCACCCCGGCTATCATTTCCAGCAGTCATACTGAGTGAGTAAAATTGATCTTTTTTTCATTTGTGCAATTCAGACGGAGTGAGAGTTTGAATGAATCAGGTAAATCAAAGCCTCTCCTGATAAATAAATCCATATTTTCCATCATTTATTCTGCACAGACCGCTCCAGCTGCTTTCTTGAAACAATCTCTCTGATATTCATCAGTGTTTGATGCTAATACAAAAACAAAAAACATGTTTTCTGCATTAAAAGCAGATCATGCACTGTAAAATTTGACCACGATTCGGTTGCGATGATGCAGAAAGAAACTTTACCACTTGTTGGGTAATCTAAACAGTCGCAGGCTTTCCATACGGGGAAGGTTCCACAAACAGTGACAAAGTTAATTGTTAACAGACAGCGCGGTTAGCAAATGACAGCCTCATGTCACACAGAGTCATCATGTGGCACGCTGAGGCCCGATGATGTGTGCTGCAGTGCGGTTTCACAGTGTGTGTGTTTTCTGTGTGTATTTGAACAATTAGAGGACAGCCAATGCAGGAACTATCTGTGTGTGTGTTCATGAAGTGTATGTGATGAAGCTGCATCAACACTTTCGCTTGAAAATGACATCAGCCCCAGGGCAAAGTTTCCTGTCATGTCATCAGTGTTTATGACAGTGTGTGCTCTTCTCTTGTTTTATGTAGATACTGCAGTCATAAAGTGAAGAGTGCACCTCGGAGCTGTAACACACATGTTCACAAACAGGTCAGCAATATGACACAAAACTTTTGATTTATCTCTATTTTACTGTTGGATTCATGCTGACTCACAACTGCTGAAAACATTACTGGGATGGCTTTTTTAGAGTAGGGAAAACCAGAACTAACTGAGCTTCAGGAGCGCCACAATCAGCAGTGACTGTAAAAAGTTACTGGATTGAAAATCGCTTTAACCACGAGTCACAGCCACAGCATGCTTCTCTGCATCATCTCAGACCTAAGAGACATGCCATCAGTTTTTTATGAAGCAGGTAGACCTGCTCTCTTCAGAGAAGAAGATCCAATACTGTTAGATACAACACGATTGATTCAATATGATACTATAACAAACAAAATGACATTAGCTACGATACGATACATACAATATAATGCGAAATGATAGTATACGATATGATACAATTCAATATGATACGATACGATATGTTATGTGATATGATACGATACGATACGATATGATACGATATGATATGATACGATACGATTCAATATGATATAAAATGATATGGTACGATACGATACAATACATTATGATATGACATATGATATGATACAAAATGATATGATATATGATACAATTCAATATGATACAATATGATATGACACATGATATGATACAATTCAATAATATATGATATGATATGATATGGTACGATACTATATGATAGATGATATGATACGATACAATATGATACGATACAATATGATATTATATGATATTATACAATATATGATACAATACGACATGATACGATATAATGTGATATGATATATGATGTAAAATGATACAATATATGATTCGATACAATATAATACAATTTAATATGATAAGATATAATATGATATGATACGATATGATTCAAATGATATTATGATACGATACAACACGATACTACATCAGTTGTTTGAAAATATTGTGACATATTAAGAAATATAGAAGCAATTCCTACTTGCTATCTAACTGCCATTAATTTTAATTATAAATCTTCAAGCCAAAAACATTTAGTTTCTAAGTATAAATTGAGCTACATTTGTTTTGAAGGCTTTTTTTTTACTTTTCTGTCATTATCACTACGTTTCAGGAAAGCCTCTTATTTCAATGACGACATTACAAAGTGAAGTTCAGGACTTACTCTCGAATTCCTTTAAAGAAAAAAAGACATAACAGTACACAGTTACTAAGACCTTTGGATGCCACATAAACATTTACTGGTTACATAAGAGGACTCTGTCACTCACATATTTGTTTCAAGCTGTCTGAGTACAGGAGGGGCAGCACTGACTGAGTCGCACGTCTTATTATCAACACAGAAAATAATTCCTGGCAATGAGTCAGAAGCCTTTGTTTGCTTCCCTGACCTGTGATAGGAACCATGGTTATGAGCTTCGTGACGGAAATCCATTTCACAGCCAGGGGCGTGAGGTTGTGACTGGTGATTACAACACAGAAACAAAGACGCTGAACCTGCCAAGACCAGAACTGATGATTAAGTATGTGGAGTTTAATGGGGGCATGAGGAGAAGGGAGAGTCACGTGGAATTAACTGCAGAGTGTAATGCAGTGTGTACGTCTCGTATGACTAACGGTGTAACTCATCAATGTTAGTCATCAAAAAAAGTGTGTTAATCCCTTAAACTCGGATTTCTCTGGTCAGGTTAGTAAGAATTTCAAGTGGTTCAGCTTTCCCTGAGGAGTTCACTGTAAGTCTTTGACACAAAGTCATGCTTTGATGTGATCCACAAGACCCAAAGAGCTTTACAAGAATCCTGTTTGAGGCAGCAAATATATCCAAAATAATCATATTTGTAACATCAAATGTCAATTAAAACATTGAAGCTTGCAAGAGTCTGTAGAGTTGAGATTCAAGCTTCTTTCTTCCACATGATTTCTATGTTAATCCATCTACGATACTATGATAACTATTCACGAATGCAAAACTATATTTCTGGCACCAGATATCCTCAACTTCCACGCCACTTTCCTCACTTTTGGGTTATCATTAATCACATGAGAGTCACTTTCAAACATCTGATAAGCACATGGGCAGGAAAAGTTCACCAACAACCCCAAGGACTTTCATTGTTCCCCTTGTCCAAAAGTTTCAGGAACTACACAGCCTCACTGACAACAGGAAATTCTTGGAGAGCACCATCTGTTATCTTCTGCTCAGCTTGTTGTTGAGATGCTGCTCAGACACTATCTCTAATTCTAGCCTGGAGAAAACAGCAGCCAGAAAACAGCCTTTAAAAATGCCCCTAACAACCACGGTGGCAGGCAGCGGAACAACCCGACCCGTGTTACAGCAGGTCACATGTTTGTCCCTATAATATTTTTTTCCTCCTTACGTTATTATGTTGAACTTAGGACATTTAACAAAGGACTTTTGGCTGGTGGAAACGAGCATTTAGGCTTAAAAAAACACTGGAGAAGTACAACAAAATGTAAGAGTCTGCTGGGGAATAATGTCGGATTGGTTAGCAAAAGAAAGGACAACACCAGCAGAGCTAGCACCACCAGTCTCTGGTCCACTTGGCTGAGTGGTTAGATGGCACTTTAACTAGATACAGTCTTTATACAACTTCATCTCCATTTTCTAGATCAAAATACTGCCAAAGCTGTACCACACTACGGCATGCTATCAGTCATATGTGCGTGTTTATATCTGGGTAGTGGAGCGTTATAGTATGGCAGCATGGTAGCAGCCATTAACCAGCCCCATCTACTGGTGGCTGGCTGTGCTAGAGTGGAGACACAGTATATTGCTGACACTTCAGGCCAACAGTTATAAAAATATTTATATTTCCATATTTTTATCTAACTGACTGGTAATTCTGTTGCGGATCAGCCAAGTTAATAACACCCAATAATAAAGTCCTCTGAACACTCACATCCCTATGCCAGATTTGCAACCTTTACCTTACTTTTGTACACCAGAGACATCAAGTTTAACTCAATAAATTAAAGTCTGACTGGCTCAAAGAGACTTATTTACAAATCAGTTTTTAATGGACTTAAAAAACATGTACAATATTATTAAACACAGTCAATTGATGCTTCTATCAGTTTTGTTTCAGTTTGGGATGGGAGGAAAGAAATTATTTGAAAGTATTTTGGAAAAATCTGATAATTTTACTCACTTTTTTCTGGATACCTTATGAAGTCAATAATTTATCTTCACAAACAGTTAAATAAAAGAGAGTCTGGCTTGCGCAAATCCTATCAATCCTATAAATGTTAAAACCTTATGTGAAAGTTTTTCTCATCAAGCAACACCAGACACATAACAATACAAAGGCGTAGGACAGGAACTTAGACAGAAAGGTGTGCACTGCTCGGCTTAGGTCATTATTTACTTGACACTCAGTAGTGAATTCCTGCTCACAAAAAGACTGTTTGCCAGTTGGCAAGGCTGACAAGTGTCCTGCGTCACCTTCTGCCCGGACAACGATTCACAAACCGGCTCAAACCACAGCTGCCGTATTCAACGCATCCTCTCTAAATGCTTCAGCAGTTACATCACTCATTTTATGATGTTTCTAATTCTTGGCCACCTTACCTCTCTTATTAACGTGAAGCTGTTTAACAGCCTACCAAAGCATGCACACAAACAACACAGGGTGAGGGCAAATGTTTCCAGAGTCGAGCAGACACCCCATAAACCGGCTGCAGTCTAAGTAGGCTGGCAGGGGACTAATGGGCTTAACCTGGGACATTATCACCTTAAGCAAAGAACCAGCTGGAGCCATCAGAGCTTTTTTTTCTCTGGTATTCACAACTTTCACTGTCCCACAGTGCAGGTGTTTCATGACATTTACTCTGATATATCTGCAGAGAAGGAGGGAATGGGGATCTGTCAATCATGCAAAGTAGAGGGATGGTGTCAAATACTGTAAAACTCTGCCAGTAGACACTGTTGCACCATCCAGATTGAGGTTAATGCTACACTAAAATGCCCCCTAAAGAGGTATTTTGGAGGATGTAAGACATAAACAATCCTCCTCTAACACGCTGTTCCTCTCCCTCCTTGTCTCTGTGTTGTTATTCAACAGGTTATAATTGCCGTCCCGGGCCCGCACTGTACAGCAAGAATGTGGCAAGCATGTGATGAATAGCAAGTTAAGGAGATACTAAAGTCTGTCAGCAGCGATGAATCACACCGTGTTACAAACTCAAAATGTAACCAGTTCCCATGAGATGATGCAAAGGATTTCTTTCCCACAATTTCTACTTCTTCAATTAGAGTATGATTTATTCACTCCAGCAAGCCCGCATGTTAGATACACCAGGATAAAACAATTATCAAGTCCTGCAAATAAAATACACTTTGTCCTGTCAGCTGATGTTTCAGAGTATGTGACGTCAATTGGACTTCCTACTGCTTTATTGGTAAAAAGCAAAAAAAGTCAGTAGGAGGCAGCTTAATGACGGATCTTACTGCCAAGAGACTGTGTTTTATGCCTCTGACATTACATATTTGGCTAAATATGCTTGCATCTTACCGGCTGCTTCCTTCTCTAATTTGCAAGCTCAGATTGAGGAATCTGCTAAAACTCCCAATTTTACTCTTGCAAGCAACCGCAGTGAGCAAGTGCGAGTTTTTTATTGCCACCTTCTTTGGCTCTGTACAGTTGCTGTTTATTGAGTGAAACCTCTAATTAATTCATACAACCATTATCTTGTTACGCAATGTTCAGAATGCAAAATGACTTCCCTGTGCAGGCAATGGGTTTCACATTGGCAGTCATTCAAGTATGCATGAATGAGATTGAGCTGGAAATATCCAGAAATTGCTAAATGGCTTGAAATGGAACCACAAAATGCATGCTTTACAAATTATTGACAAATAAGAAAGGTGTGACACTGAGGAATTACATGCCTTGAGGCGGCTCTCAGCTGTCTTAGCTTGAAACACAAGAGTTTTCCCCTTTTTCTAGTCTTAAGGTCCTTTCACATCGGGACCGTTTTTGTCGTGCGATTATTTCAGACGTCAATGTTTCTTTTTCAAACACGCATCCTGTCAATAGAAGCGTTCACATCAGCAACATTTTCCTGTCCTGCAATATTGCGGCATGTATTTTTTCAGATCATGGTCAATTTTTCTAAAGTTTCGCATACTGTGCATCCACTTCTGACCAATCAGATTGCGTGTTGTTGCAATGTCAGATCGCATATCCTGTATATCCAACATTGCTGACCGGCTGATAGTTTACGTGTCGGAGAACAGAGTGCTTTTTGATAAAAAACACAAACATTACAAAGATAACAACCTGAAGGACAACATAGCGTTGGATCTCTCATGCAAAATCACATCAGGCTTGATGTGTATAGTCAGGCATGTCAAGGACCTTTAGGCTTGCATTTCCAGTAACGTCTGGCAAACTCAAGCAAGATTGAAATACAGGACAATTTGAGCTTTCTTTCACCATGATACAGGGAAGAAAAGTTTCAGGCAAGTGAGTGTTTGACCATTTATTTGCCCATGAACGGTCAAAACTTCAGACCCAGCGCGCCCTGACAGTCAAAGTAGGCCTAACAACAACTCTATCAGCACTCTTTCTAAGGCTGAAGCAGTCCGTCTGAACAAAAGAGAGCACTTCAGGTGACCTTCAGGGGTTTGGTCTGCATGCTTCTTTCAGAGTCGTTAACCGCCTGCCGTAAATCTAAAAATTACACCTCTAGTTTAGAGTGCTAGGGCCCTGTAGTTAAAGGGCCGGTTTGGGGCTGGTGATACAGCTGAGCACAACACCTGGAATCCCTCAGCAGCACCAATGAGCTCTGATGAAAAACAAATGTCAGCACCCCCCTCCTTCCCTCCACGAGCCCTGCAGCATGCAGGACCAGTGTGTGTGTTTGCTCTGGCCGGGATGAAGTATTGGCTACTGCCAGATCCACTGCCAGCATACTGACTCCTGACCCATATTCTCAGGGTCAGGAAAGTTCATGCAGCTTTTGTTAATACAAATACCTCAATTCTCTCAATAGCTTCTGCTTCTGCTGACAATATTATAAACAACCAATCAATCCATTTGATTCACATAACTCCAAATCACATGTTTTCATGGCACTTCAGAAGAGAGCAGATCTGGACTGTATTTGAAGAATATTTAGAGACCCAATGTTTGTTAAATCCAAGACAGCTTTGGCAACCGTGGTAAGGAAAAACTCCCTGATTAGGCAGAATCCTCAAACAGAACCAGACGATTTGGTGAGCAGCCCTCTGCCTAAACTAGTAACTTCAAAACAGCAGAAATGATCATAATATCATAATATCAGCCACCAGATCAAGATAAGACTAGTCTACTATGATTAAAGTTGATAAAATATCTATAAAAGTATTTCATTTATTACACCCAATTTTTTTGAGAAAGACAATTAGGGGATTGATGTAGTTTGATGAAAATAATAAAATGTAAATAAAACTGTTCTGATCTATTTGCAGATCTTATTCTCCACCAGATGCATTTCTGTGTATTTCACAGCAGTTTCAGCCTCCATGAATTAGATGGCACCGTCTGTCTATTTAACACTCCTCAAAGACTTGCTCTTTAAAATGCGCTCACTTTGTCACTTCCACTTTCCCCACTCTCCCTGTGCCGGTAAGTAGCTGACACTGAGTAAAAGTTCTCTGGAAATGACTCAGTCACCGCCCAAAACTGAGTTTTCCTCCCGAATGAATGGACACACAGCAGAGAGACAGCAAAGAAAGAGGACTCACTACATACCCTCGAGATGGTTAACGGTGTGCTGAAATCCCGTCCTCCCACCAGGCGAAAACCCCACGGAGAGGGTCCTTTTAGTGTCACGGTCTGGGGCATGTTTGGCATACTGACGACGAGAGGGCGACACGCAGATGGCAGGTATTAGACAGAGCCGGGAGGTGTTCGCAGTTCCCCGATATGAGTTTTAGGAAATACACGGCAGCACAGAGTCCTCTACCCAGCTGCTAGGCAACGCTGTCCCGTCTGTGAAAACTCTCCTTCCCTCTTGATTCAAGTTTAAATAAAGAAGCCGCCCGTGACGTCAGATGACGGTTTGTCCCGCCCGCCTTCACGCGGACTGTACGGAGTAGAAGGGGGCGGGGCAGTGCCACGAGGAGGGAGGGGGACCAAGCTAACAGACGGAGCTCTTTGACAATAATAGAGTAAATAGAGGAAAAACAAGTGACAAAAACGGCTTATTTTCTGCTCTAACTGTTAAATATCTCCTTATACATGCACTTTTATGTATGATATTTGTCCCAACTTACAAATACACCTCTAGTTTTTATAAGCTTTCCCGTGCTTTTTAATGTGAAATAATTTAAAGGTGGGGTAGGCAGAATTCTGTTAAATAAGCATCTTTTTTGTGGTGTATTCACAAAAAAGGTTTTAATATCAGTCAATAGCTTTTAGTTATTGATGACATTTGGGAAGATAAGGATATCGCTGTGTTTTGTTATATCTGTGTAGTCAACATTTTAAATTTTTTGAGCGGCCCGCTCTTTCTAACTGTAAACGAAGCTATTCTTCGCCTCCCCAACCTGATTGGTTGTGAGGCGGATGCTGCTCCTTAGTGCTGATTGGTTGTGAGGCAGATGCTGCTCCCCCATGTCGTTCGTGGCCCCAAACAAAGTTAACGTGCTACAATATTGGACAGTAGAAACCAACAAGAAAGTACGGAAAATTGTCTGAATCATCCTTTGTCCACGGCTGCCAACACAAGCAAGAAAACGAAGTAAATACCAGAGATTCTGGCCGAATAACGGGTGCTTAAAACATAGGTAGACCGGATAAGAGCTGAAAAGCCAGGTCAACTTTTGAGGTTCTTTTGAATCTTATGTTTCTGTGTATGACTGGTAACAGGCAACATTTAGGGAGTAAAGCTACAGATTTGAGAGTCATAACTTTTCAGGTATTTGACCACAAAAAAGGGGAGGACAATAAAATCTTTGACGTGACGATATATGATGTCAACTCAGGCTGACCAAACTTGTTACAGGCTGTCACAGACTCTAGAGGATAGTGAATCACTGTACCAGATTTCATGGCTGCTCAACATTACTAGTAGCATGACAAAAAGAAGATAAAGCACGAGAAGAGTCCTGCTGATTATGCATGTCTTTGAGGCTGTGATGGTAATGTGAACACCAGTCAAACCTTCTACTGATCATAGTCTATAGCAAAAAACCATTAACAATTAAGAAGTTCTGTTGTAATTTCATTGCTACACTAGCAGTAAAGACCTGTCAGTGGATATCCTTTATATCCTCTCTGCCCCACTTCTTGGTTCTCTCATGTCCCCAGCAAATTAGAGTGAATCACCGAACTCCAGTTCAGTTTTTCTAAGAGGGAATGACCTCATAGACATTCCTGGGAATCTGTCTTTCAGACATCTGCAGACATGTGGAACTCTGTCTAAAGGTCTGACTCAGTTTCAGTCAGACGGTGACCTCTATCACAGTCGCAGTTAAAACAGTGGCGCTGGTGTTAAATCTAACCGATGTCGATGTCAACTGGTGTCGTCATCAGTCTATCGTGATTGATAGTACATGAGAGGAGGCCTGTTCCAAATTCAATATCTTCAAATCTATGGGATGTTGAGATGGGATTAGACTGAGAACTATCTTGCAAGATCACACCCACCTAACAGCACCTAACTTCATCAACAGTACATATAGGGTCCTAGCCATAGTACTCGCCACCAAACATCTTTTTAGTTTTGTCTAATTTCTTTGGCAAAGAGACTAAACACAACTCACCTACTCTCTTCCAGTAGCCACTTGTTTGTAGCAAGACCGCAGGCCAATCCATTATGGACTAAAACGGGGTGACGCAGCTCAAGGAAGAACATTTATGATCATTTCTTCATGGAAATGCAATCAGACCCAGACGCTGAGGCAGGAGAGCTTGGTGTTACGGTGTGTTTGACCCTAAATTAATTTTATGCTGGAATATCCCTTTAACAGGCAGAAACCTTGGACAGAACCAGACTCATGTTAGATACTCATCTGTTGCTACTGCATAGGAGATAAAAGGAGATGTAGAGAGAGAAGCAGCAAAACATAATCATGGGGAACCTACGGTATGATGGAGCAGGGACTCCCAGAAAAGATCGTGTAATGGTACATGATGAGTTAAAGTTAATGAAAGAGGATGGTAATGGAGGGAAAGGTGCTTCATGTGTCAGTACCCCGAAGTCAAAACCTATAGCAGCATAATCCAGAGCTGACCCAGGCCTGAATCTGCTCTAACTGAAAGCTCTATGACCCAGACCACTTTTACAGACTTTAGGTACAATGAACAGGCCCACATCGGGACCACAACATGTAGATAAACACCACCACGCTGTCACTGTTTAGCTAATTTCTAAACGTACAGTCAGAAAAATTTGCTCCTTGGCACCTTATTTTTCTCCATTTTCTTACCATGTCTCACATTTTCAAAAAGCTTAGAAGGAAACTGTGTGTGGTGACTTTGAGGTGTAAACAAAGACATGTTTCAAAAAACGTCAGTAAACAGTATTTACAGACTGCTCCTTTACTTCTAATCCAGGGGACATCAAAGGCTGTCCAACTAAAGTAGAAGAAAGGATGAGGAAAGATTTATCAAGCAGATGAATGGGCTGTCGTTTGGATATGTATCTTCTTCAAAGCCTCCTCTCTATAAATCTCAGTCAAAGAGCACTCCTATCTTATTGCTCCTATTCCCTGGATAGTTATCATTAGACATTACCCCCGCTAAGAAGTCCTTTAAATCCCTAGAAATGTATTTTCTCTGATTTTTTCCCTCTTTGTTTTGAAGCCAAGAAGAACCTGAGGGGGAAACAGGTAGGACAAGTGATGTTGTAATCATGAGCTGTCGGCCCCCGTCTGGACTGTTTCACGTGTCGAGGAGAGTGAGGTCATTTAAACTATTACACAAACGCTGATTTCTCACAGACACTTAATAGAGACTTATAATTATAAATGTCGTCAGATAGTATGTAATCTCCAATAAATTGATCTAATGAAGAGCTCAAAACTTGTTATTGACTGAAATGTAATTTTAATAGAGTACCACAAGCTTTTCCAGAGATTTCTTCAGCCAGAACAGCCTTTAAAATCCTTTAGTACACCAGATGCTTTCACTCACTTGGGTGCACACACTAAGCAATTAAATACTTACAATGGATGCAATTAAATCAACAATGACATTGATTGTATTTTTAAATGCGATTTTTTTTTTTTAATTCTTGACTCATAACAATGCTGAAAACCTTTGTTCAAGAAACAACACTGGCTTTAACGCGAAGGTTTTATCAAATTGTCTCCATTAAATCTGCACTCATCAATATTCTTGTATTGAAAATGTATCAAGAAGCCATATATATTGTTGAGGAAAAAAAGATGATGAGTGTGTTGAATGTAAAGCCAAAATTATGACTTAAATCAAAAACTTTGAAATCTAACTTTTGCTCAAAAATTAGATGATAAAAGTCAGAATTTCAAGGGGGAAAAAAAATCAGAATATTGAGTTTGAAATAACAATTCCAAACATGATTTCAGAATTCGAGAATGTGAATTCTCCAAATTCTGAGGTTAAATTGAGAATTCTGAGATTAAGTTGTGAATTCTGACGTTGTCTAATGCTGTGTTCGAGATACCTTAAGTTATAATTCCAGGATTTGAACATGAGCTTTAATTCTGACTTTTAAATCAGAATTCTGGATTCAAAGTCATAAAACTGAGATTAAAGTTAATATTCAGATTTCTTTTTTCTCTGATTTCTGAGATAACAGTACGAATTCTGACCTTAATCTCAAAATTCTGACATTTTCTCAAAATTCTGATATTGAAATGAGAAAAATCATGAAGAAAAAAATTAGAAGAATTCAGTAGAATTCAGAGACTCAAGTCAGTATTTTGGCTTTAAACTCAGGATTCTGAGCAAAAGTCAGAGTTCAGACTTTTTCTTTACATTTTTTTTTTATTAATCCCCTCCTCTGGTGTAGAGATACTTACAGTTTCAACTCCCATGATATTTTCCATCCAACTTTGATTTTACTGACCATTTTAGCTATCTTCAGCTCCTTGTTTTGGCTGAGGACATGAAGCCCCACTACTTAGCCCGGTCACACAGCTGCCACCATTTCTGTTTATAATGCCAACAGCCTGGTGTTCCTACTCAAAATGCTATGATTAACCCAGACAGCGTGTTAACTGGGTAGCACCAAATGAAAAACAGGTTATGTATGAAATAACTTGGTGATGCAAGTGGATGATCTAGCAGCTTATAAACTAGACATGTCCCCTAGAGACTGGCAGAGATCAAAACAGAGCCAAAGTGAAAGCAAGCCCGGGATTTTAACACATGGCATGACCAGAAGCATGATTCAGATTAGATTAATGTTGCCAAATAAACAACTTCAGTCACAAAAACAGTGATGCGTATGGAATCCTTTAGGCTTGCTTTGTTTTCTTTTTATTTGAGGTTTTATTAGATTTATTTGTAACAGAGGTAATGGATGATATGTGATCATTTTCCAGAGAAACAAAAGATGTTTTGAAGCAATAGTCCCCAGGCAGGTAGATAGTTTAAAAAAAACAAAAACTTAAAAATGCTGGTTTAACTTTCATTTCTCTTTTTATGAAAACCACACATTATTATTTTAATAAATAAGAAAAAATCTTAGACACAGCGTTTCAAATTACTTCCACAGTTTTGAGTGAGCTCCAGAAGTCTGCTGCAGAAAAACCGAGTAGCAGATGTCGCTCCTGATTGGTTCCATCTTTGCTGCATTAACAGAAGACACAGCCTCTTTTGCTAATTTTTCCAGCACAGCACACACGACATTTGGTAGCTTTATG